TTTTTAAACATAACCTAACCAGCAAAGCTGCCAGTCCTAAGCCTGGAGAAAATGTAAAGGAAAATATTACTGCTAATTATATCATAGTTACAGGTAGTAGGACGGCATTCGGTTTTTAGTTATGGAACCATAGGGGGCCCGGGACGGAATTCGGTACCAGCCAATTTCTCAATTCTATAATAATTAAAAATAAACACGTTTCATAACAACCTGAATAATATGAGACCTTTTTTTATTTTACATATTTTCAGACATTTTGATATAAATACATATTTTTAAATATTTCATTAATATTTACATATTTTGTAAATATTTCACATTTTCCTACCATTTCAATACAGTTTTTATTTAATTTACAATTATTATATTGGAATTAAATGAAAGAAAATATTTCAAATCTTGATTCAGATATTGTAATTGCTATTACTTCTGATATTATGTAAATTAATAACTTGCAAAATAATTTAGCATATATTTCCAAACGATTTTTTTTCTTGGTTAAAATAATAAAATATTAGAAACATTAAATCTAACAATAGTTGAAAGTCTTGCGATAGTGGAAAATGCAGAAATTCAATGAAATTAAGTTCAAGGAGAATCCGGAGTTATAATAAAAATTAATTAAACTTCGTACTGGATAATACGTTGGTTTACAAAAAAATTTAAATTATTAGATATAATCTTATTAATATAAATAAAAATATGTCAAATTATATTGAAGTAACACCATCCGATATATTTGGTATGAAATATGCCCTATTAACCTCGGTTGACATTGAATACAGCTTCAACCGCTACGAGTTCACTATGAAATCTAACCGCCGTACATTAAAATTTGAAAATTTTTAAACGTACGTCTTACTCAAATATTCCGAAGAAGACAACAATGAAAAAGATTAAATGAATAATTAATAATTAAAAATTAATGGAAAATACCAGTTTTTTTTGTTAAATATTTTACGTTTTTTAATACATATTTTAGTAAAAATAAGAGTATAAATATTTAAATATTTTGACTTTTTTATTACATAAAAATCTATACCTACAAATAGCATACCATATTATTTGCCCTTATCTCACTCAATTACCCATCAGTATTCCCGTGTACCAACCATTTATAATCACTATATAAATGCTAAACTGTTTATCAATTACTATTATTTAATATTAGCCTTAATGGATTTATCACCATATTCATATCGATCCCAAAATTACAAAGTACATTTATCCAGCTTATATTGCATTCTCTCAAATCATTATATGAACGACATCGCTATCTAAATAACAAATTTTATATTATACCCTACAGTGTAGGGTATAGGGCCTATACCAATGGTCTTCAACCTTTTTTTGACCTGTGACCCACTTTTCTTACCAGACATTTTTCGCGACCCATGTAAATTTCGTTAGCCATGAAAACCAAATAAAAATGTTAAAATTGTTTAATGTATACCATTTTAGAAGTGCTTTTATAATTGAATAAATCAAAATTTATATATTTTAGGTTTTTAGGAAATATTTAATTTTTAATATAAATAATGAAACAAAAAAAAAATCCATGTAATGATACCGAAAAATGTATATGTTTTGATACACAAAAGAAATGACTGCAATATTTGTCCCGGACTGTTTTCACACGAAATACCTCCACCTCAGCTCAATTTAACACAATACAGTTTGTAGATTTATGAAATGTAAATAAGATTTATAAATTAAGTCGGGTAACTAAAGTGATGTTCCATGCTGAAGGCCGTCTCGGGTGACTGGATGACGTGCGGTTACCGCAACAAAAACGCAATGGTGTGTATTCAAGAACTGTGGCGGCGCAGGGGCGAAAAACGTACGTGTGCATCGGGCCTAAATTTAAGCCAAATAAACCATTTGTATAGATTATAAAATATAGAGGTCCTAACACTGTACATTGTGGGACTCCATAGTTAATTGGTAAAAATTACTCAAAATATTATCAACTCTTACAGCTTGATATCTTCCAACTAAAAATTACGAGAATAGATCAAGTGCTTTACCACGGATACCAGCATTTTAATTAAAATACTATGGTTTACCGAATCAAATGTTTTTTTCAGATCAAGAAAGATACCCATTACTTTATTATTTTTATCTAAGTTTTCCCTGATATATTTATCTGCTTGGACTAAAGCATCAAGTGTTGATTTACCTGACTGAAAACCATATTGATTATTTGGAAAAAAATTATTTTTTATTAAAAAGTTATACAAACGTTTTTTTAAAAATTTCTCAAAAATTTTACTAATAGATAATGAAAGTGAAATTGGTCTATAGTTGCCACAATCGTTCTTATCACCTGTTTTAAATAAAGTAATAATAATAAATTTTTTAAAACAAACGGGATAAACCCCACATTTTATTATTATTAAATATTAAAAAGAGAGGTAATGATACAAGTTTGGATAATCTTTTTAAAAAATAATTTGTCATTCCATATTCATAATATGAACATTCGTCTTTTAATAAGTTTAAATAGTTCTCAACTTCTTCGATTGAAATCGAATTTAGAAATAGTGAATCACTCACATGACATTTATTATTTAAAAACTCTCAATCTAATTTATGATAGTTATTTTTTTTATATTTTTTTGATATATCCTCACCAACATTAGTAAAGTAATCATTAAGAATATTACAGATTTTAAATTTATCGTCAACTATTTTATCATTTTTACTATAAAGCGAGGTAATAGGGATTTTGGGTTTATTTTTATTTTCAGTTATTTCATTAATAATACGACAAGTAGATTTTGTATTTGAATTTGCTTGAAAGATTTCATTTTGATAGTGTAGAATACGTGCTTTTTTGATTATAGTTTGAAGTAGATTTTTGTATTTTGAGAATTTAGTATCAAAGTTTAAATCAAAAGGCCTTTTTCGTTTTTTTTTGTACATTTTTTTTTTTTATTTATTGAAATTAAGATACCCCTTGTTATCCATTTCTTTAGTTAAATAAATGGTTTAGTTTATTATAATTTATTTTTAATTTTAATATTTATTTTTATTCCATATGCATCTGGATGATGTTAATGTTGGTGGATAAAGACCGAAATTTAGATATTAGCCAAACGCAATGGCTAAACTTGTGATTAATCGACTAAACTTGAGTTTAGCCATACTCCTAACACTAGCCGTAACATATAAATAAGTTAACTTATAGGTAGTAGTTTCTATCGTTGTTTGTAAATGAACTCGTATGTACCGCATCTGATAAAAATAATAATTCGAGTGTAACATTTGCTTCAGATATGGATTATGCATCATACCGAAGCTCCTTATTTGACATCAATTATGACAGATAGTAACGTATTCAATTGGACTTCAGATTATCGCAGGGACAGTGATATACCGAATCCGTACGGGTACTTTGTGGAATACAAACCTCCCCTACCACGGATAGAAAGAAATTATGCGGAGGGAAAAACCAAGAAAGTCGCGTGGTTAGTTTCGAATTGTAATCCGCACAGCAATCGTACGCTCTACGCCAACGAACTAGCGAATTACATTTCGGTCGACATATATGGTTACTGCGGAGTTCTCAAATGTCCTCGAGACAAAGATAACAGTTGCTTGAAAATGTTTCGAAAGTATTACAAATTTTATTTGGCTTTCGAGAATGCGCACTGTCGTCATTATATAACCGAGAAATTGTTCCGGAACGCGCTCAGGTAACTATTATCATTACGATGCACAATTTCTACCTTTACATTTATAATGATGCCTCTATGAATAACGGTAGTAAACAACAAATCGACTAAAGATCTCTGAAGCTTCTGAAAATAAGCATTTTAATAAAATACTTTCCCTACGAATTTCTTACACGTGGGAAAATAAATATTTTGCTGCAGTTATTCAAAGCTTAGATTCTTATAAAAAAATATTTCGGCTAATTACATATTGCTTTTTTTTTTTTTTTTTTTAATAATAACATATGCTGATCAACGTGTTCATCATTTTTTGAGTAACCGTGTTTTCTGTTTCGTTCACTTATAGTCATGACATGTTGCCGATCGTTATGGGACCGAGTCGCAGCGATTACGAATTGGTGGCGCCGAAGAACTCGTTCATACACGTGGACGACTTCGAATCGCCGAAGCTGCTGGCCGAGTACCTGAATAAACTCGACGAAGACGACGAGCTGTACAACGAGTACTTCCGGTGGAAGGGCACGGGCACGGTGATCAGCGAAACTAGATATTACTGTCGGCTGTGCGCCATGCTCCATGACGAAAAACGTTCACCCAAGTACTACGAAGACATCAACAAATGGTGGAATGGTTCTGGGGTGTGCATACGTTGACACGAAAACGTAGCTGTGTCCGGAATAACTACACCGAAGAAGTGGTGTGACACAGTATATGTAGTAGAGGGTCTATTCGGTTGAAATATTTATTTGTTGAGTGGATATGAACAACACTATTAATATTAATCACTTATATTTCACTATATATATACTATCTGAACCAGTAATACTTTGCCATTGTTTGATTTCATTATAAAATATTGCCCTGTCTGTGTATATTTATTCATCTGTGTAAATATAAAAATGGATGATTTGTGTATAATCTAGAATCTATAACTTGTTGTAAAAAAATGAAAGATAGCATACTGATTTTATTCCATTAATTTTCGTCGTATAAATTGATAATGAATAATATATATTACATTCTTGTATGAAAAATATTTTTAGTATTCCAATTGCTATGCACTTGAACAAACTTACAAAAATTATAACTGATGCTAACATTTAATGTAACGCGAGAGAATAAAATATATTTATAGTATTCAGATTAATTGTAGAGACGTACAGAGTTTTTGAAATTTCTACTCTGGAATAAGCAACACATAGTTGAGAGCAAACAACAAACAGTTGCCACAAAATAAAATACTATTAAGGATTTAAAATAAAAAGAAGAAATTATTCATGCGCATACTTTGGCACATAAATATGTTTTTTACACACAGTTAAAAATGAATCAAATGAACCGATTCCGTAGACCAGTGTTTTTCGACTTATTTTACCTAAAAAACTAGGAACTTGAACATTAACCTAAACCCTGGTTTCTTTATAATAAGATTAATAGATATCAGGTTTCAATATGTCAGACGATGTCCAAAACAATTATTGCATTACTATATAACAAATAAAAAAAATTATCTCGCATTGATTTAATGCTGATTCTTATAATTACTATGGTAAAATTTTTATTTTTTTATATGGTACTGATATCTGTCATATGTTTTTTTTTTCTAAAAATACTGCTTGAGGAAATTAGATACATGTCAAATAATTGTAATATTAATTAATTACGGTTTTTTCTTCCGTGTTACCAAGGAACCGAAAATCCCTTCAGTAACTTAAAGATTCTTCTCTGTGAAACACCAACTATTTTACCAAATACCATGTAAAAATCGGTTCGGTATTATTTGAGTTTAATAATCTTGAATACACTGAAATTTTCTAAATTGATTTGCCATTTCTTTAAAGTTATTTGTTTTCATAACGGTTTTAAAGTGTAACAATATGTCTACATAGGTACCTTTATCTAGGTTAGAAATAACTATAAAGTTACCAGAAACATCCTGATAAAGTTGGTTAGATGAAAAGAAAAAAACTACTAACAGACACCTACGGTAAAAGGTGGATGGAACCATCAAATAAATTACCTCCTGGCTACAACTTAGACTGGCCGGCATAGAAAACGTTGAATGTGTGTTAGTGTAGGACAGCCGAAAGGAATTTTAAGAAAATGGTGATATGGAGATCTATATGTAACATACATTTGATACATATGTAGACAAGAGCAGAAAATGTCACTTTATGCCCATTAGGACCAGGCCTATGTATACAAGAGGATCTCTTAATAAACAACCAAAATACGGTAAATACGGCTCAAAGAAAATATATAACCGATTTACACTATTATATACATTTTCATTAGTGTGTAATAGTGTATCATTTATATTTTACAATTTTTTATTTACTTACTGTTAATTTTTTTAATATCATTCTAGTTTGTTGCATAAATTACATTTTTTTTAATTTTAATTGTTTTATACAACATATATGCTGCAACAATACACATGGTTAGTCTAGAAATTTAAGCGTTTAATCGATATTAACTACTATTCAAAATTATACTTTAGACTTTTAGTGAGAACCTATCACTCGAAAATTTAATCACACAAAAAAATAAAATACTAATTATTGTTTCCGAAGACATTCCGCATAATCAAAAATACCACCATTGTTGAATTATCGATATTACCATGAGAGTGGTTTCATTTTTACACACGGAACGGTATTACACAAGCTAAGAATTTTTATGATATCAGATGTATTTGCTATTTTTTTTTTTATTTTTTTTTTTCATGTGAAGGCATTTAGAGGGGAAAAAAATATTAAACAATTTCTGTCAATATCGGATTTATAATAATATTTTTCGGATAAAAGTCTTAACATAAATATAAATTGTTATATTTTTATTTTTAAAAATGCTTAATTGATTGATAATTGTTGTTTTTTTGTTTTTATGACAGTTTGAACCGATGAACTTTGATAAAAATTAGATTTGTAAAAAATGTTTGATAATAAACATCCGAGTTGAGGTCATTACTACAAGCAAATTGTAAATATCATAATCTATATTGTTTTTGTAGTATCAATTGTCACATACGTGCTCAATTATGTTTCTAAAAAATAAGAGTATTTTAAATAATATATTTAGTGTTTGTAGTTGCATAATTTTAATTTACTCGTAAACTTTATGTTCAAAACGTGTGATTGTAAAAAAAAATTACCAAAATTAATTTATTACCTACACTGAAATATATTTTACCTAGCATCAGCGGTCTCGTTATAATGTTGCGTAAATAGGTTGAATTAAATATTTAAAAGAGTGATTTCATCGGTTAACATATCGTAACGTACATAATATGTGACAAATGTACATCGTAGGAACGTTGGGATCCTAACTAATGTGCTTCAGAATTTGACGGGTAGAAAAATTAATTGTTATCACGATTAATACGTGCCGCAACAAGGGAGTAAAGTGATTCCGAATCCAGTGTGAACATTCGTTTTGGATGACTTAATTAGTTGCAGGGTCAGTCCAAGCAAAAATAATACACTAGACAAAATCAAATTTTGTCACCTCCCCTCCCCCTATTTTTATGTGACATATCTAAATAAAAAAAATTTTTATTTTTTATTTTATGTATAATATTATATATAAAAAGACTTTAAAATTATTGCTAAAATTATTATTCAAAACCTATCACTAACGACTATCGGAAATCGCAGAAGTGATTGTGTGGTTATTTATACTTTTGGAATAATTGATAATGCACAGCGTGGACCATAATATACAGTAATATAATAACTTTAGACAGTATTATTTTAGTATATAGGTAAATAGTTTTCATGAATGAATTAATTCAAATATTTTTTTTATAAAACACCGATGGAACCGGTTGCATCCGAAAAAGGTCGATAGACAAAAACCGCACACTTTATCGGTCACTGTATAACAAAATACCCCTAACTTATAGTGGTTAAAACCGCATAATATTCTTAGTGTTAACTAACTGATAAGATAAGTTTATAAAATATACAGCAATAATCATGCTTAGAGTTGGCGGTATGTGAAATTTGCCCAACGATATTCGGTATGTGTTTACCTACCGGTTTTTATCGGTATACCGGTATGTCGGCATATATCAATAAATACCGTGTAGACGATAAATACCGCTCGTTCGGTAATTACCGGTCACTCGGTAATTATCATTCGCTCGATATTTATCGTTCGCACAGTAATTACCGCTCACTCAGCATATACTGCTTACTCGGAATATTCTGCTCGCTCTGTATATACTGCCCACTCGGTAAATGCGATTTAAACAATAAATAACTCTAATACCGTTTTTAAGCGACAAATTAATCGAATATATAATTTTAATATTATTTATGCTCCTAAGAATAAAAGCCCCCATTATGTGTCCAATTGTGTTTTCAGTGATTTATCTTATGATAATCAGATAATGTAATTTAAAATGAGCTGGTAGAGTTTGGTGCCCTACTCTCATTCTTTATAGTAGTTTTTTCATTCCTTAGCCGGTCTACATGAATAGTTCATAATAAATACTATAAAAGTATAAAATATAATGCCGTTTAATAAACGTTTGATTCATTTTGCGCTATCGACTATACTCTAAATGTATTTTTATTATACGCCATATGCCCTTGCGGCTTGCTGTGTAATTAGTGTATTAAATTGTCATATTTATTATTTTTGTCTTTCGATAATAATTACCAATCCACTGTAAATACCGTACGTTCGGTGTATATATCATGCATTAGAAATATATCTATAGTATATATTGAATATTCAGTAAATACCGATGAAACGGTAAATACCGAAAGATCGGTATACCGGTTAGTGTAAGATGCCAATACTTATAAATACTGGTAGGTCGAAATACCGGTGACTCACCGGTATACCAAAAATACCGCCAACTCTAATCATGCTAACTCGTTTTAATATTTCAATCACCACTTTGTGGTGATTTTTTATGTTTTTACATTTGTAATCACTTACAATCAATATTCATGCCAGCGGTTGAACTAATTTTCGGCGAGGAATAAAAATGTATGCAAGATACCCACCACCCACCCAAACTCCTAATCAATCTTAACAGCATTCAATAGTTACAATTAAATTTACCCGTTGTGGATCCTATGAAATTTTGTAAGGGCATCTGTTCCCCCCGTTGGCTCGGGTTAACTAACTTAGTGAAGTTAGTGCTAACTTTCTTTTCTGTTTTATTTTATCGTTGTAAAAACTACTTTTATTATTAAGATTGTGTTATACATTTATAATATAATCTAAATCTTCTCAATATTCTCTATTTGTTATGTAAAGATAATGTTTTATTCTTATTTTTTTTTTTTGTAAAACCTGTATTTATGTTTATATATATATATATATATATATATATATATATATATATATATATAGGAATTTATGACTCTACTCAATGAGACCAATGTAGTGGCCACACTCAAAATCCAGAGATTAAAGTGGGCCGGACATGTATGAAAGGCCGAAGGCCGAATAATACGGAACATGACGAAGTGAAAATCTAATAAAAGTTGACTCAGGGGAAGGCCAAGTGAACGTTGGAAAGACTGAGATAAAGAAAATCTTAGTGGTCTGAGTGTATTGAATGGAGAAAAAATAGCATAAAATTGAGTCGCACGAAGGAGAATTTAGTTTGCTATAATTTATTTTTTTAATTGTAGTGGGATTTAAAGAGTTACATTTAGTTATAATTATTTATCAAAGAATCGATATAAGTTAAAATAGAAGTACCCCATAGTGATCAGTAGGGAACGGATTTATATATAATAAAAATACATAAATATGTACATATGTATGTAAGTATAATTTATAAAATATGTACTAAAACCATCCAAATATGTAGGAAAAAAATTGAATTAAAAAAAAAAAAAATTATAATTATCAAATTATCAAAATGATTTGTTGCATTGAATTATTACAATATATTTTAAATTATCAAATATTAAATGTCGCCTATTAGATCTGAAAATATTTTTAAAACGGTTAAATGATCGTTCCACATCAACCTACGTCGGTTGATTAAAGCATATTTGAAAGGCATAATATTAAAAGGCGATAATTCCAAATTTTTAGAAGGGTGTCTGCCACTCATTATGTCATTGATTGATTTAAAATAAATATGGCCTGAAATTTTTTTCGGTAAAAATAGGAATTTTCTTTTTTACTACTTCTCCTATTGGTCCGTTTACGAGTTTTCATTTTGCAATCCTTGATTCGACAATTTGCATACTTTCATTCAAGGACATATTTTTGTTTCTAATTTTGTAAATGTATGTGCAATAAAACTAAAATTCACTGAGATGAAAATTAAATTAGTTTTCAATGTTTCATTTTGCATAATATTTTGAGCTTTTCTAATAGATAGAAATTCTGGAAAAAAATTTGAAATAATTTCTTGTATTTTTGTACGAAGAAGACGTATGAATGATGAAATAATAAAATATGTTTAAAAATATTTACAAATTAGTGAAATATGTAAAAATATGTAATTATACCAAAATATGTAAAAATATGTAAAATAAAAGTAGCATCATATTAATAGGAATGATTTAAATCATGAACATTTCTTATCAAATTTTAAATATCTCGTTTTAATAAAAATATGTATTTACATATAAATCCGTTCCCTAGTGATCAGTAATATCAATACGTATAATATAACTAGAAATAAAATTAATGCCTATATTTTTTAAAAATATGTGATCAATATTACTATTAGAACCATTCTGGCTTCTAGTTATACCATTTATACCAGAGAAAAAATATATTTACTCATTATGTTGAGATAATTAGTTATAATAGAATTATTCGACAAAATATTAATGTCAATATCTCCACGTATATAATGTAACTCACTATTGTTATTTATATTAAGGAAAGATTCAAGGGAATCTAAAAATAAATCAACAATGTAACTTGGTGATCTGTATATTCCATTAACCCGGTAGTTAATATTATTGAATGAGATGGTAATATCTCATGAATTACAATATTTAATTACATTATAGTTTATATAGTCTATAAATCAAGAGGTTAACACCAGATATGCAGCTATTAAATTTTCCTTAGATTGACTCTCAAAAACTAGTTGCCAAAAAGTTAGGTCCGTTAAATTAGCACCACCATATTCAAAATTTAAAAAAAAAATATACCAACAATTGTTATTTCATTTGTACACATTTGTAATCCTGATATAAACATTTGTACATCCCCCCCAAATGCCCCAAAAAACCAAATTTTCTCGGTGGTGCTAATGTAACGTTACATCAACACCCCACTTTTTGTACAGTAGACTTATGGCTTCCAAAATGGTACCAATGATTGTTATTTCGCTTGTACACATTTGTAATCCTGATATAAACATTTGTACACCTCCCCAAATGCCCCAAAAAACCAAATTTCCGCGGTGGTGCTAATGTAATGTTACATCAGCACCCCACTTTTTGTACAAGTAGACTTATGGCCTCCAAAATGGTACCAACGATTTGAAAATACATTTATTTTATAAATAATTTTGTACTTAAATTATTATAAAGTATAAACTAAAAATTCTACATCTGTTTTAACTGATGTTTTTGACGGTTCGACTTTGAGCTTCGTGTCATCGTATGTTTCCCATTAACCATTTTCTCTTAGTGTGCTAGCTGTGTAATGTCCAGTACTTGAACGAAGACCACTTCTTTCTCCACCGAAAAAATTGATTACACCTCTGAGATGGTATATTTTGTTATTTACCTTTAACAACTTTTCAATATCATCTAATTTTTTCATATTTAGTTGTGCAAAGTTTTGTTTTATCAAATCCATTTGTACATGTTCAATGTTTCCGGTACTCGTTGATGCTTCTAATCCTACAAAAAAAAAAAAAAAATTATCATAATTTATTTTATTTTAGGTTATAATATAATAAATAATATTATTTACCTAAAGGTACATAATGATGCCTCTATGAATAACGGTAGTAAACAACAAATCGACTAAAGATCTCTGAAGCTTCTGAAAATAAACATTTTAATAAAATACTTTCCCTACGAATTTCTTACTCGTGGGAAAATAAATATTTTGCTGCAGTTATTCAAAGCTTAGATTCTTATAAAAAAATATTTCAGCTAATTACATATTGCTTTTTTTTTCTATAATAACATATGCTGATCAACGTGTTCATCATTTGTTGAGTAACCGTGTTTTCTGTTTCGTTCACTTATAGTCATGACATGTTGCCGATCGTTATGGGACCGAGTCGCAGCGATTACGAGTTGGTGGCGCCGAAGAACTCGTTCATACACGTGGACGACTTCGATTCGCCGAAGCTACTGGCCGAGTACCTGGATAAGCTCGACGAGGACGACGAGCTGTACAACGAGTACTTCCGGTGGAAGGGCACGGGCACGGTGATCAGCGAAACTAGATAGTACTGTCGGCTGTGCGCCATGCTCCATGACGAAAAACGTTCACCCAAGTACTACGAAGACATCAAAAAATGGTGGAATGGTTCTGGGGTGTGCATACGTTGACACGGAAACGTAGCTGTGTCCGGAATAACTACACCGAAGAAGTGGTGTGACACAGTATATGTAGTAGAGGGTCTATTCGGTTGAAATATTTATTTGTTGAGTGGTTATGAACAATACTAATAATAATAACGATGTAACTGCTGTTTAAACCGTTATTTGTTGTTACCTTGTTGAAACCTGAAACCCTGTTAATAATGCAACACAATCGGTTAATAACCCCTATCAATAGATAAGATGGTTCCAGAATAAAAAAAATAGTTGTAAACCTTTACGGGGAGGGGTGGCAAGAAGTGTTACAAAGATCAGTTTCCCATTTAAACTGCTTAAAATAATAATAAATACGTTTGTATTTTAAGATTTCCGTATTAATTAAGAGTACATTGAATACAAAGATTGTATTTCGTAGATTTGTACCGAATCCAATGCAATTCGAATCGAGCTATACATATTATAGTTGCCCGTCGTTCTAATACAAGTCGAAAAATGTCCGTTAATGTTAATATTTTTATTGATAACGCCATCGTAATATATTATCAATCACCAGTATAAGAGATGTTAAATCATATTTATTTAATTTGAAAGTCATTTCAATTACTATTAAATAAATGCTATTTAGTCATATTTTATCTGTAATGCCTATAGTGGCCTAAATAAGATAAGAAGCTACTCTCAACATACGGAACTACCTATAGGTATAATACCGTATAACCGTATAATATAGTATGCTAACCGCTATGCGTTGTATGCGCGTGGTATGCAATCAGTTTTTTTAGGGAATTTAACTCTGGTGTCTGTTCGTGTTAATATTTTAACAGTTTTTATATTTCATAAAAACTCGCATCATAAACGGTCTTATCAATTTCGGAACATTTACGTTTCTCTCTCTCTTTTTTTATTTTTATTATTTTCATATGATTTGATCGACCATTCAAATCGTATAGCGCATTACGAGCGTACCAAACAGTGCAGTTCGACACACCGATCTATAGCTGTTGTCCAGATCATTGATGACCGTTCGAAAGAGATAATCGAAATGGAGAGGAAATATTATTTAATCGTAATCATGAACATAATTATATTTTTGATCATCGCGATCGTACTGCTCGTCGAAGCATATTCTTCAAAGACACGTAAGTTTTATAGTATATGTTTTTGTTTTCATGATTTTTGAAGTCTGATTTTAATTGCTCCCATTCCCACTTTCGGTTCTGCTGCTACAACGATTGATGTCTTAACCGAAATGTTGAAATAGATAACAAACACGTGATACCTAGATCGGTGTGGCCAGAAGACTTGCCCGATGGCGACAGGATCAGAGAGCAAATGTTCTACATACCATTCGGCTACCGACATGAGAAGGCGCCAATCAAACGGATTTTAATATACAACCATCTTAACAGCGATTTGAATAGGCCCAAACTCGAACAAGAAGAGTTCGCTGGATGTCCGGTCAGCCGGTGTTCGTTGACCGTAAATACGTCTTACGGTCCAGAAGTCGATGCAGTGCTTTTTAAACACGCTTACACGCGTCCGGAGTTCAAAAGGCCACCACATCAAGTAAACCACCGTTAATAAATGTTACGATTCCGATGTTGTTTTGTTAAGAATAAATTGAAAGTAAAGAACAATAAATCGTTCGTGTCGACGAAACGGCGAGTAAATAATACGTGTCAACAATTTACAGAATATTGTATCAAACGCGTGTATACACGTATACTACTGAAATGGTGGAATCGTATTTACGGTTTAGTTCCGTTGCAGTCAATTCGGACTGTAAGTGAAAGCTAAGTTAATTAATTTCAATTCCACTCAGATTCGGCTAGGCACGTAGTCAGAAAATATTCACTAGGTGGGCCCCCTCCTTCCCGACTTTTTATATTATAAAAAGGTAGTTATCAGCGTATCGTTTCTACAAATAAATAAGTATATAACCTAAAAATACCATGTTTTATCATTTTGCTCATATCTTTGTAGTTTTAGTTTTTTTTTAGCGCATTCGCTGAGAGGTGCCATTTTAAAATTAATTGAAATATTAAATATATAAGAAAAAATGTATAAATACTATAAATTGTACAAATATTAACGACGTTAGCATAAGTGCGGCGTGCGCTGAATGTGAAAGTGCTAACCAGCGACCATAAAACGCGATTCACACTGGTAAGACATGACACGACACGACACGACAAGACATTCGAGCAAAGAATGTTTTGTCGGTCTGTCGGTGCCTGTCGAAATCAATTTAGTTGAAATATACATATTTTTATGTACTCATAATTATTATATAATTATTATTTTATTACGCGTACATTATAATTTATATTTATTTATATTTATATTTTTTATTAATAATTGAGTACCTATATAATAATTTGTTGAGAAATTTCAGAGTGAATTGCGTATAAACTCGTCGTCGAACGCTTGATTTATATATATATAAAGATTATATAATATTATACAATGATATTATAATTATTATAGACGTAGTACATAGATACAGTATTTATATAATATTACGTGTCGTACAGTACTACTGTCGTTGCCGTCTTGCCGATGTCGGTCATATGTGTAATGGACAGATTTTTGTCGTGTCGTGTCGTACCAGTGTGAATCGCGCTTAATGTAATTCTATATTTTTATATGAATCAATATAATGACTAGGACCCAGAATTGTATGCATTAGCATATTTTTATATGTTAAACAAAAAAGTAGCTAGGTAAGACAGTAATTTGAATCTTAATCTAATATGTTGGTATGCGAAATTAAATTTGACATATTTTTGCATATTTGGAACATTTCAAATTATTATGCATACTTTAGCATTTTCTTGAAATATAATGCATGTATAAAAATATATTACGAAGTTATTAATATTATTATTTATTACTTAGCGCATGTACATCGTAAATTCCGTGAATCGTGCAGTTATATAATTTGATTTTTGTGTTATAATAAGATATAAAGATTGCTAAAAGTACCATTACGATAGTAACTCTCCACGTAACTTAAAAATATTATAAAAATTCGCTTAATTTGTTTAAATTGATTTTCGTTTGTGACTTTTTGTTTAGATGAGTGAGTGTTCAAAATACAATTTAATTTCAATACAACATACATTTTCATACAGCTTAATAAAATATATAAAATACAGTTAATATATTTTAAAGTATATTTTTTGTTAAATATTTATTATTTAATGGATTGTATGCATTTTAAAATTAAATAAATTTAATAAATAATAAACATACATTTTTGTTTGCATATTTTTGTATATTTTGAGTGCATATTTAAATGATAAGTTATCATTTCAATAAATATATGTAATTACATATAAATCCACGCCCTAGTAATTACATATATTTATTGAATGTGAATTTCTCAATTCTAATCAAAAATAAGCACGTTTCATAAAACCCTGAATAATATAAGACCTTTTTTATTTTACATATTTTCAGACATTTTGATATAAATACATATTTTTAAATATTTTATTAATATTTACATATTTTGTAAATATTTCACATTTTCATACCATTTCAATACAGTATTTATTTAATTTACAATTATTATATTGGAATTAAATGAAAGAAAATATTTCAAATCTTGATTCAGATATTGTAATTGCTATTACTTCTGATATTATGTAAATTAATAACTTGCAAAATAATTTAGCATATATTTCCAAACGATTTTTTTTCTTGGTTAAAATAATAAAATATTAGAAACATTAAATCTAACAATAGTTGAAAGTCTTGCGATAGTGGAAAATGCAGAAATTCAATGAAATTAAGTTCAAGGAGAATCCGGAGTTATAATAAAAATTAATTAAACTTCGTACTGGATAATACGTTGGTTTACAAAAAAATTTAAATTATTAGATATAATCTTATTAATATAAATAAAAATATGTCAAATTATATTGAAGTAACACCATCCGATATATTTGGTATGAAATATGCCCTATTAACCTCGGTTGACATTGAATACAGCTTCAACCGCTACGAGTTCACTATGAAATCTAACCGCCGTACATTAAAATTTGAAAATTTTTAAACGTACGTCTTACTCAAATATTCCGAAGAAGACAACAATGAAAAAGATTAAATGAATAATTAATAATTAAAAATGAATGGAAAATACCAGTTTTTTTGTTAAATATTTTACGTTTTTTAATACATATTTTAGCGAAAATAAGATCATAAATATTTACATATTTTGACTTTTTTATTACATAAAAATCCGCGCCCTAATGATAAACATCGCATAAATGCATGCATATTTCGTACGTTTTTAGTGCATATAATTCCGGGCCCTAATAATGATAGTACCCTCGCTCAAAGTATTTTAAAAATAGACATACAAGTATACAGTAGTCACTGACTAGATAAGATAAGAACAATGTGACATTGTAGTATAGTACCGGTATTTTGCTATAAATAACAATTATTTCCTAATCGATGGCTTAAATTTAGTTACAAGTTACATTACTTAGATTATAATTAAAACCCGATGTATTTGGTTTAATTTGCGTCATATTTAGGTAATATTAAAAATTTAGTAAAAATTAAAAGCCAATATTTAATAATGGGCCCCTCTGAACACTAGGTGGTCCAGCCTAAGGCCGGACACATATTAGGATGGGCCAGGCACACCCTGGCCCTCCCTTAGCTACGTGCTTGGGTTCGGTTGAGAACTGATTAAACATGATGTAATGTCTACTCGTCACAGAACTCAATATATTTTATTTATTATTATTATTTTTTTTTTTAATCACACTTTTTTACCCCGCGCAAACAAACGATAAACCTAAAAACCGTCCTCATGAACAAGAAGTTGTATAAAATATATTTACCCAATAACAGAAATACAGAAAACGTAAAAATATTAAATTCAAACTACAAGATGAAGAATATAATTTTTCAAAAATAACTTATCTATCGATTACAGCTATTTGTTTATTTTATTTATCATTTGTTTCATACTCGAATACAATCAGATGGTAACCGTTCTTAAACACGAGTGCTAAATCAGAATATTATCTCATTTTTACCGAAAGTAATGCTGTTCAACTATTCCTATTTTTTATTTGACAAATTAATATTTTTATCAAATCAATATTTTTTATCGTGTTCGCCATTCGCGTACGGTATCCGAAGTTCAGGATTTCATGGTTCTAACATCACAATTAATAAGCCACCGTTTATCGACACTGTTCATATGTCTTATGTAGGAGAAATACAATAGGTAATGATGTAAAAGTACGTAAAGAGGTTTTTGCTAACACATCGAAACGTGAACATGTTACGTAACTGATTAGTATGACGATAAAGAGCGCAACACAGTATACAAAGCGGACGATAATAGCGCAAGTCAATGTATTGTTATTATTTTATTTTACATACTTTTCATGTACTTAGTTTCTAAGACATACCACGATTTTCCAACATCATATTATAAATGTATTCTAGATATCTTTGAGTTGTGATCAGGGGTAGCTCTGGTGAGGGGACCCTAGGGGCCGCGGCCTCCTCCAAGCCCGTACCGTATTTATAAAAAAAATTATATTGTTAACAAAAAATGCATATTATAATATGGACTATATATATTATATATATATAATTACGACACGCGCAAGTATATAGATAGAGCCATAGAGGTATGACAGTTGAAAGGAGTTTCTCCACACTTCGGAGACTAAAAACCTGGCTTCGTTCAAGGATGACTGAAGATAGACTATCAGTATTATGTCTAATTAATGTATATCATAAAGTGGATATTCTAGTTCAAATAGATCACATTATTGATATTTTTGATAATTTTAAAAATAGACGACTTGAATTTGTGTTGTAAAAATTGTTGTTTTCTTTTTGTTATAAGATTTTGTAAAATTATAACTTGGCTCCCCCCTAACCAAGGCTCTGGTGCCGTCCCTGGTTGTGGTTATTATTATAAAGATTGGGCAAATATTTCAATTGTTTTCTATTCGTTGAGCGAATTTAATCTAGAAAAATGTGAGTTCAGTTTAAAGTTAAAAGTTACTTCTCTTTTATATCAATTGAAAATATTAATATTATATAAAGCTGTATTTATGTGCATTATTTCGATCCTTCTTGAAGTACCGGAATAGTGCATTCAACACTTCTACGATAATTATAATTCCTATTATTTTTATTAAAAACTAGTACACTATTCTATTTTAATCTCCGACAATTAAACTAGGATAACAAATAATATAACAAGATTAGAATTAATTGATTAATAGTGGCTGCGTATCACGGAAAACAGTTTAACTCGTTAATGATCAATCCTTCATCGTTATAACATTAGTATTCGACCTGCGATAGAGCATCTCCATATTGGCTTAACTAGGATCACGCTATAAAAGGCGTTTCGAGGCCGTGGTTGGTGGTCGGAGGGAGGGCATTATGATATCGTAACATTTGATTCCTTTATTTTTTTTTTTCTATAGATATGGATCCTATCGCACTCCGAATCTCCTTTCGGCACGGACGTGTTGAGCGACGCGGACGCGTTCAACTGGACCTCCACGTACCGCAGGGACAGCGACTTGCCGCAGCCTTACGGGTACTTTTGGCAGGACGCGCGAACGGAGCTCAGACCGCGGATGGCCCAAACGAATCATGCGGCGAACAAGACCAAGCTGGTCGCGTGGTTCGTCTCCAACTGCGCCGCGCACAGCAACCGCACGGCCTACGCGGATGAGCTCGCCAAGCACGTGCCGATCGACGTGTACGGCGACTGTGGTCCGCTGAAATGTCCCCGGTCCGCGCAGGACCAATGCTTCCGGATGCTGGAAGACGATTACAAATTCTACTTGGCGTTCGAGAACGCGCGCTGCCGGCACTACATTACCGAGAAGTTTTTCGAGAACGCGCTTAGGTGAATGCACGAAAAAAATTCCTAGGTCTATTTTTAAATTCGTTAAGGATATCCGACTGGAGAAGGGCCGTTTTAGGGAACTCTCACCGAGCTCCTTGTTTCCCTTTGTGTCAATAGTATGTTTAAAACGCGCATCGACGTAATGGAAAAATATATTGTTGTTCGAACAGACACAACGTGGTGCCGATCGTCATGGGACCGAGTCGCAGCGATTACGAGTTGGTGGCGCCGAAGCGTTCGTTCATACACGTGGACGACTTCAAATCGCCGAAGCTGTTGGCCGAATACTTGAAGGTTCTCCACGATAACGACGGTCTGTACAACGAGTACTTCGAATGGAAGGCCACGGGAACGATAGTCACCGACACCAAGTATTACTGTCGACTGTGCGCGATGCTCCACGACGAGCGACATTCGCCCAAGCACTACGGAAACATCAACGAATGGTGGATGGGCCCTGGGGTGTGCGAACGTTGACGTTAAAGTTATCTGTCGGTTCTTAACGATTTGTTATTATTTATTTTATATATTTTTTAACGTTTACTCTAGGCTTTCCCGTGAAGATTTACCGATCGTAGGAATACTTCCTATGATCTGATTTGAACATACCATCTATTTCTCCGATTATATTTCAAACGTATGTCTAATAATTGGGAATTTTTTAAAGGAATCGAAATCGATAGTCCAAATATTATCAATATAAATGTAAGAGGATTCGTTAAGACAACAGTAAATCCTCATGGGACACTTGGTACATAGGTATCTGAGATAGGTTCTAGCCGCTTGAATAATTATAATTATATTGAATAATTATAAACGTTAATAAATAATAATAAATCATTCGTGTGGCTTGTAGGTATAATTAATTTTAATGAATCGTTAAAATTTTGTTCGTCTGTTGTTCTGTTGAAATAAAATAAAATCACTCTGACGAATACGCGTAAACGGTGCGTTTGATTTCCAATTTTTAATACAGTTAATGCAGGACACGTTTCAGAACGGATTACTATTGATGGATATTATTGTAACTATAATTGTAATTTAAACGGGCTAAAATCCAATAAATGTTGTGTACATACATGTAATTATGATGAATACATAATAAAAAAATAAAATAAAATAAAAATATAATATTATCAAGTTATAAAATGGGTTTTAATTGACAGTGTTATGATTTTTCTCACGACACAAGATTAAAAACGCTATAACTGCATACTCCTATGATACATATTATGTACTATTTTATAATTATTGTCTTTATTAAGATTTCAATTTAGTATTGAAAATCAAACTTTTTTATTTATGAAAGCAAATTAAATTTAATAATATTACTTTTGATATTATTTTATTTTTTTATAGCTAACCAAATAAAAACACAACTGTTATCATGCTCTAAAAAATGACTAAAAATGTACACTGTAGAGTAAAATTGAGCTATCACAGCTATCACACTAACACGTAATACTAACATAACACCACAATATCAATTGTGTACGATGCGAATTATAATTCCATACAATTATATAGGTCACATATGGTAATATATCATGTATACGATGTGTGATTGTACATTATCGATTATATATGATATTATGAACTTGATTCATCTAAATTTTACACGAAAAATAGAAGAAAAAAAATGTATTAAAACGTTTTATATAATTTATTACTATTGGTGTACATTCGGTGAATTACTTACCGTTCCGAGTTATATATGTATATATTTTTAGTTTATTTATAAAAATAATTAAAATCTATGCATACATTTGCACAATAAGTAAATTTTTTTGACAATACGAGTAACAAATGAAATCGAAATGAAAACGTAAAAGAGGAGGCAACAGAAGAATCCTGTACATGAGAAAACGTATGACCACAACAATATTATAACATTATTATGTAACATTATACAAGATACATTTGAAGTTAATTTTTTACTATTATACAAAAAGATTGTTCCACCGGTGTCTGGATGACGACATTCCGTTATTAGTTGTGGCCCATGATTGTGACACGCCCGAAGCGTAAACGGCATAAAATATCGCTGCTGCGATGTACGCGATGGACACGAGGGCACTGATTTCATATGCATGCAGTATCTGTATGAAAAATTCGGATTCGAGTTTTAAAAACGTGTTACGATGTAATGAGATCTCATGTTCCGTGCTCATACCTGTTCGTAAAGGTTCACGTGAAAGAATGTGGCGAAAAAAAGGTGGCAAATATGCTTGACGGTTTCCATAAATCCGATCAGCAAGCTGGCATACCTCGGTGAAATATCCAAATGGTTAACAACGAATCCTATATTATTACGTGCAGATATATAATTATGTGTGTATAATTCGATGAGAGAGAAGGACTGAGACAACAGGGATTTATCGGAAAATGTGGGAAACGGATAGGGCGGTTTTGGTCGGATAGGACAAGCTTAAATTTTTGCAATGTCCCATTTTATATCTTTCTCTTTCTCCCTATCATTCTTGATTTTCTTGATCGATCCAATGATCGACCATAGTTTAATATGACTCTAACGTAGTACGCGTGTTTCCACTGGCAATAAAAAATTCGGCTCACCGAAACAGTAGAGAACTCCGATTGCGTTGTATACGTCCACAAACCAGTTGAAATGCTTCTCTACGTCATAAGGGAACGAGAGATACAAAAGATGGAAAGCAGCACGTGAACTGAAAAACAGACAGCTCCAAAATTTTCTGACGCACGCGGTGGAAAAGCAATTGATTTCCGGAAAGAGTTCGACAAGGAAAACGACGAACAGTATCGAAACGCTAATTAGAACATTGACGCTCCGTCCTTTCTGTTGCTGTGCAAATACACACTATTAATAATATGTTACATACATTTTATAATAAAATCGTGTTAAAATTGTATCCATTCACGATTCGGTTAGTACAGACTTAGGTACTTACGATTTGAGTCGAAATTAAAAACATATAATCAAACGAATAACCCAAAGCTTCGCAGATGTTTGCCACTACAATGGCATGGACAGGCTTCGAGGAGCATATCGACTTCCAAGGGATGTTCAAGAGCTTTTGTGTTGCCGACAAATGGTGTGCTCTTGTATTTGTTTTGCGAACCACGTACACCCATAGAATACCCGACCACAACAACCCGATTGCTCCTAAATATATGAATATATAAAGTGTGTTGGGTAGTTTAGGCTTTTATAATACAAGTTCAGACCCATGAACATATGCTGATTAAAAACTTTAAGTTATTAGTAGGGCTCGGATTTCAATGCAAAATGCATTTTTTTTTGGACAATCTTATTCAAAGTACATAATTTTTATGTAACATATATTTCAAAACCAAAACTTTAATTTTGTAAAAATATTATATAATATACCCATATAGACGATATTTTTACATATTACAAATTTTAAATATAAAGAACAATTTTTTAAAGGGATCTTCTACCCAATCAATATTGACACGTTGAAAACTTATGTACAGTAGTTGGAGTATACTGCTGTGAATATTTTAAATTTATTAAAATAGTTATCAGTAAATTTAAAGAAAATAATGCCATAGCCATCAAAAAAGCGAAATATTTAGTGGCAGCCAAAGAAATGTAATCAAATTTAATATTTATAAAAGCTAACCGTGGAAATATACTAAGCTATATAACTTCTAAAGTTATACCTTTAGTTGGGATAATTGGTGTCGTAATTTATACCAAAACTTGTGATTCAAGTAATTATGAAAAAGCAATAAAGAAAAAATTTGAAAATATCTTAGAAAATAATTGTGGTTATACTATAATGGAAACAATTTCAAACATTTTAGAAGAAAAATAAATCTCTCTAACATACATATCAGAAGAATTAACACCAAACGATATTTACCACTTCAAATATACTTCTCAGTCAATACCATCGTCGCCAGTCACAAATCAACATTTTCAATTTTCAGTTTTTTTTTTTAGTAAAATTATATATTATCTAATAATCTATTAATATTTATTAGTCTAATAATAGAATAAATTTAAAATAAATATATTTGTCGTTTTTTAAGTGCATTTTTGGCTGTTTTTTAGTGTATTTTTATTAGATTTTTAATGTATTTAAATCCGAGCCCTAGTTATTAATTATCGAGTACTATAATTATTCAGTTAGTTGACTTTTAGGGCATGAGTAAAATGTCAACTAAACTTAATGGAAAAAAAAGAAAGGAAAATGAAGTGCAGTACATTTTGACCAGTTTACTAAACATCTATCAAAACCAGCGGCAGATTGGCCTACCGGGATACCGGGAAAGTTCCCGGTGGGCCAGTTATAAAAATAATGTATTTAAGTATATTGTATTTAATTGTAAGATTGTGATAAAAACCTAGTGTAAACGTGATGTAAACAGTTCTACAAGCATTTAATCCATGAATAAAGGAGACTTTTATGGAAAATTATTATTATTGGATGGCGGGCCGATCATGCGGTAATTTCCCGGGCCGAAATGTTTAGCCGATCCGTCGCTGATCAAAACGTTCACTTTATATATTTATAATAAACATCATATGTACACATACTACATATACTTACTTATACTTATTATAAATACTTCAACTTCTTATTATATTTAAACATTTTTATTTTTCACTTATAATATATTGAAATTAACTTAGAAAAAAATCTTAATCATAACAATATTGATATTTCAAACTACCCAAATTGTTACATATAATTATACATGGCCATCTGTTACGTTTAAAAATTGTTGAAAAACTAATAATTTAATTATTGTATCCTTTTTCGTAGATTAGATTTGCACAATAATTTGTGTGCACTGTGCGTGTGCGTTTCACTCACCTATCGCGTAACTCAGATATTTCAGGTCGTTCACGGTTTCCAAGTCGAAAAAATAACTATAACTGTTTTGATATAGCGCATAGTACAGAACTATTGGAACATGACGTATTGACCGTCTCCCGAGCGGCAGCGGCCACGTTGTCCAGATGCCGTGGAACGCCGGAAGTGCCATGGCCTATTTGGGATGGGCAACGACCAAATAATTGTAATATTCCGCCATATTTATACACTTATTTATACGAATAGGTATACAACGTTTTGGGGGGAAGAAAAATAAAATATAAAAAAAACGAGGACCGGTTGATTTCTTACAATGGTCATGAACTGACATAAAATAATCACAGAAAATGAATCGAAAACGATATGACTCGTATCGGCAATCGTCAGTCCCAACAAATGAGTGACGGACGACAGGGCGACAGAAACGGCGAACATACTGAAAACGATGGAGACAAATAATGATATTATTTTACCTACGCACGTTGCAGTTTACTAAATATTGATATTACCGTAAATCTAATTACTTGTGAGCTGGATATATGCAAGCCAAAATACCACTAGTCATACTGGCTACGGTAGATGCGAATCCAATCATGAACAGAATCACCCAATGGTTATTGATCTCCGCCTAGAAATTAAAAACACAAAGAAAAAACACATTATATTTTTTTAGAAGATTCACGTTTGATAATGCCATACTACAGAATATTACACCTGGTATGAATGACAATTTCCTTTTTTCATTGGAATACATCTATAAGTACAATATCTTGATAAATATTTTTAACCTTACTAATAGCCTATTGCAATTTGCAGTCGTTTTGGTAAATGTATACATAAATTATGGTATTTGTTTGTACGTTTTGTAACAAGTCGTACGAATAATTGTGTTTTTAATTTTTTTTTTTTTTTTTGTTAATAAATAGAGAGCGTACAAACATCGATAGTAAAAAATATCATTGCGATCGCATTCTGGATCAGTAAAGATTTGATCTATTACTCTGAGGGTTGTTCAATTTGTATTTAAGTATACAACGTACAATATTCTAGTTATTTTAAATTATTTTCTATTGTTTTTTCTTCTTTTTTTTGTCTTTGAACTATTGTACAATGTTATTGTTTCCGTGATGTTATATGTTTGGTTAAAATATTATTATAACTATTGTTGTTTTTTAGGTGGGTTAAAATAATGCAAAGTTAGTCCGTCTAAACATGTTATATAAAGAAGAACTGACAAATATCATATGACGGTTGTTGACCCTCTTAAGAGTGCTTGCAGAAGGAGCAGGATGGGCCATGCCTCCCTTCGCTGTTCTGGCTATTGTTTTCATAGGATATATTTTTATTAATATTTTTAGTATCTATATTTTTACTGATTAGGAATTGAAATTAAAACAAATCGATAATAGTGATTATAATTTGCATAGATAAAAAAAAATCTTTTATTATCTATTATATTGTAATGCACGGACGATTAGTAGTTGAGAATACGATACATCTATTACATGTTGCGTTGAAAGGTTTTTTAGGTTTATATTATAATATTATATTTTATTTTTACTACCTAAATTATTAATAATGTTTTATACTTTGTATTAACTCACTAAAAAAAACTTAAAATATGGCTTCATAGTTCTGTTACTGAAAACCACTTGAATGGGTTGGCATTGTTGAATATTTACAAAACTATTGCACAAAATAAAAAAAAAAGAAAAACAATAAAATTATTTACTATGAAGCATACACTTTTTATTTAATGTCTAATAATTTTATAAAATGAATTGATTAATACAATGTTATTAATAATTAAGTGACTTATGAGTTATAAAATGTGATTTCGGTGCTCTCACAGTTATATATAATATATTATATTATATATTGTAATATATTTTATATTTATGTACATATATAAATATATATATTATGTGTTGCCCTTGACCCCCCCCCCCCCAGATGAAATGTCCGTGGGTGCAGTTGGACCACCTATTTTACTCTAAATAGAAACTATTTTATAACATCACATAGCGTTTGAAAATATAAAATACTAAATCATTTTATACGTACAATAAACTCATAATATTTTATGTAACTGATTTAATTCACTTACTCGATCGGTCCATAAGGTCCAAAACCTATATTGTTCCATGCATACAACTAAGCCTACGACAAAATGAATGTTAAAAATTTGTTGCAACGCTTGTTGAATTCTAAATAAGATTTCACAAAAACGAAATAAAATGCAATTTAGTGTGGTTCGCGTTGATCTTGATCAGCATTCTGAGAGATGCGAAAAAAAAGGAAAGTAAGAAAGGAGTCTATAAGAACGGCGGTAATACTCATTGGAATTCACTACTAAATAATATATAAGACGAAAGTGAAAAATCATGTGCCTAGTCAATTTTCACTGGACCTAGCCACGCTACAGTATACTCGAAAAGTCACTGAATTGCGTTTAATCTTCGTAAGCATTATACGTTTTAACATAGCGTATATAATATGTACCGACGAACGAAATGAAAGCTACCGCGTATGACCCGTTCCAGTAAGTCAATTTGAAACGGATGCATCCGTCTCTAACACCGGACAAAAACGAGGTTTCGGACGACGAACACCATATTTTGTCTGACGTGGGAGAACGTCCGCTGGCCGGACTTCCGTCATCGTGTCTCGTCGACATATGATTTTTATAGATGTGGCAGAGGACGGCTAGTGGTGCGCACAGAAACGACACGCGAACACTGAACGAGGTAAGTACGGTCGCGTCCGTATTTTAAAAGATTACGTTTGAGCAAACAAATCTATTACACTCGTTTGAATCGAACGGAATAAAAAATACGGCCACGTAGATGAGGAGAAACGGAAATAATGTAAAAATTATAAAATGTATAATACTAATATTGACACAGTTGCGCGGCGAGCATATGCGACCCTAATTATTAATATCTTTACTATCCTCTCTTTCTCTCTCATTCTCTTCCGTCGTCATAATGATAATAATCAGAGTCCACAATTTGCAATGTGTTTCACTATACACTAAATTTGTAATAAATGTTAACAGCCTAAGAAGTAATCTCCAGTTAAAGATGGTCCTTATATCTTCTAAAAATTGAAAATTTTGTAATACTCAAAATAGTAGATATCATTATGGGCCTTGATACCAATATATTAAAAAACTGAAAATTAATAATTTACGATGCACACTGCAAGTTAAAACGAGCCACACGATTGTCTATAGTTGTATAGATTCTGAACGATAAACGTATAGCTTTATTATAATGATATTTAACTAAATTTTTTAAACATTTTAGACAAAAAGCTAACGCTGTAGTGACAGATTTGAACTAGTGTTGGGCATGAAATCTGATTATTTGAATTATCCAGATATCCAAATATTCAAATCTGGATAATCCTGATTTAAAGAATTGTTTTTCTGGTATGACTATTGATTATTTTTAATTGATTGAAATGAAAGTTTAAGAACGAGTTCAAATTAAATGTTGAAGAAATTAAATTTATAAGACATTATTATACACGGATCATTCGACCGCAAAATCGAGTTAGATATCCGAATTAACTGCGAAATCCGGATATCTAAAATCAGGATTTTTAAAAGCCTAATGTACCCATCAGTTCATATTATTAACTACATGATAAGCAACCAACGTGTTCATAAAAGCTGACTATAATAATCGACCGAGCAACCCCATTTTGTACGAATAACAGCAGAGATAAAAACAAGTTGTACAACTATCGCCGTGAAATTATTTATTTTCTCTTACCCTACTACCGATGAGAATTTCCACGTTTGACGCACGTACAAGTTTGGCTGCAATGAATTGTTACGTCCTATAAATGAACATTTTTAATTAGGACAAAAATTGCACGGAATCCGGAATGATTTGTAAATAATAATATCATAAAAACTATAGTTAAAAAATAGCTGTCCAATTCAACGGATCAAGGTCGTTTTCGGTGAAAAAGTAAATTCCAATGGTGTGAGAAAAAAATACTAAAAATCGTTATCATACGCTAACGGTTCGGTCCGAGTGAAACTTACGAATCACATAGAATCCGTCCGCGATCATCAGATTTGTGATGGCCGGAAAACAGTGCGACACTAAGTCCTGGGGAAGTACAAGTGCTTATTTTTTGGATTGGTGAGGGCGGAATAATCTTATTCAACATGATTAAGGCTTAAATGATGTGCAATCAAGCGCATAGAGCTACAGTACAAGTATCAAGTACATAGGGTTAATCGTACATCTTAATTCGCGGTTACAATTTTCTTTTTTTTGACTGGAGGGGCGATCATTCTTTCCGATCTCAAAATAAATTACTTGCCTGCTTCACTCGCCTAAGGTTGATCAGCCGTAAGATATTTAAGTTAACCCAAAAGAAGTAATTGATAATTTAGTAAAACTATCAAGACAATAAGTTTAAATTAAAATTAAAAAATAAATAAATATTGTAAAACTTTGAAAAATGCCATTTTTTTTTTTTATATAAATGTAACTAATAGCCCATTTTCATATTAAACTATCTCCCTCCATGAAACAATTCTACGTACACTACTGTACTTTGTCACTGGTTGAAGGTAACATTTAGTTAAATCTTATAAATGTAATGTCTACTAATAACCAAAAGCAAAGACCAAAAATAATCAGAGGTATTATTATTTGTTTATAATTGTATATAAATATATATGTATGTATACATATGTATATATACATACATATAAATACAGTATAAAAGTACAATTCCCTTAAAAACTGTTTAATTGGCTAACAGTTTAGTGAGTAAAAAAAAAATGTAGCTAAGGTTATGACAATTAGGATATAAATTAAATTATACAAAAAAATTAATTATATATTTACTAATAAGTGAAATACACTCGTTTTACTCGTTAATGTAGATTATTATTAAACATGCATTATAACACACCAGTATTTACGGTTAATACCTAGTTAAAATATACAAAATAAAGTGTTTTAATTATTATTATGTTATTAAAGGTAAAATATTTTTTGTCCAATGCAACAGTTTTTTGAAACACATAAAATAATATATTAATCTAATACAAGTTACTAAATTTGAACTAGAACTAAAAATTAGGTCATAATATATTATATAATATTAAATTATGAACAATATTTTTATATTGTGACAAAAATCAAATCAATTAAATATGAATATATATTGTATTTTATTATTATAAAACTTATAAGTGATGACACTATTTATCTATTTTAAATTACATACTTGTAAATTTTAGCGAATAATATAATTTTAGTTTATGACTTAATTATTTTATAAAATAATTATTTTACTATATATAAATATATATATATATAAAATTAAATAAACTAGAATACTAGATTTGTAAAATTGTCAATTCCAAATAATACACATTATATAGATTTTTAATTCTGGGTATATAGTTGTAATGAAGATATAGTATTGAATTTTTGAAGGCTAAATTTAATGGTAAAATAATGTATACCACCAAATATTACTAATCTGAAAGTATATTGATAACGTTAACTATTAAAATTATTATTAATTGTCTAATGATATTTTAAATACACATAAACGATGTATTTATCAATAAATAAATAAAACAGCTGAAAAATTATGGGATACTCTAATTAATAGTGATAATGAAAATGTATAGAATCTTGTTGAAATTCACAAGTTATAAATTTAGTGATCTTAACGACTTGATCTTCCTCTTCTAGCTACTCCACGTCCACGACCACCTCCTCTACCACGTGTTGGAGTAGTTTTAGTTGCGGAAGTAGGAGATTGAGTTTCTTTAGCCGGTTCTGGATCTGCAACTTCTGTTTCTTCAGCTTGAACTGCAACCTCATCATCAGCCACATCAATTACAGGTATATCAACTTTAATCTCTTGAACATCCTCATCCTCATTATCATTATCTGCTTCATTTACAGTTTCTGATTCTTCTGTACCATTTTGTTCAGCTACAGGTTTATTATTTTCTGGTTCGTTCAAACACACTCTTTTCTCAGGCTGTTCACCTTCAGTGTTCTCTGTGTTCACATCATCATTACCATTTTCTTTTTTGTCTTCTTTCATTTTACGCTTACGATTGTTTATTTTAGCCTAGAACAGAAAATTTGAATAACATGAGAAAACTAAAACTTAAAAATTATTATTTGAACTATTTAGATGTAATTTTCATTTGCACTAATAGCTAAAGTACCAAAACTTTATTTTCATTTTCTATGACTATTATACCAAGAAAATTCTACTTTTATAGTCATTAAAATAAAATGGTTCCCTCTTGGAGAAGTTATCCTGCATGAAGAAAACTACAAATGCCTTGAATTTAAAATAGTTTATAGTAATACTATGAAATTTAAATTATTAAGTGCAATACATACATTTTATAAATTAAGTAAAAATATAAATGTATTATACTCACATGTAATTTTGTAATAGAAGTTAAGTTAATATAATGTGAAGCTGTCTGACAATGCAACTCAGCTTCTTCATCATTCTTCATAAACATTGCACATATACGACACACGTGCCCTTCGGTTTTTACAACAAGTTCACGACCAACCACATTAGCAGGATTATATTTTTCCTCTTTTTCCTTCTTAACCACTGTTGTTTCTTCTGTTGTAGAAACATTGGTAGTAATATCTTCTTTCCCAGCAGTAGTCTCATCTTTAACATCATTTTCTTCTTTATCATTAGTTTGTTTTTCTTCTTTGTCAACTTCATTGTCAGTTTCCATTTTTGTATCTTCATTATCTCCAGTTTCTTTAGTAATAGCTTGTTCATCTTTGTCATCATCATCTTCTTCTTCTTTTATTTCTTTATCATTAAGCATATCTGGTTTTGATGCTACAGGTATTACTTCAGCTGGTTCTGAATCTTCAATAACAATGACATCAAGCAATTCAAATTCATCGTCTTTAAGATCAGGATTGAATTGACGTCGCTGTTCTCCTACTTTACGCAAATGATCTGCAGACAATTTATGATCATCCCATTCCAAACGAGTATGGAACAATGTATCACACATTTTGCATTCCGGATGAAGAAATTGTTTCAATTTCTATATAAATTAAAAATATATAATTATTGATATAAAATAATAATATTATCAATCATTGAACTACACATTGGATTAAAATTTAAATTAGCAAGAAAAGTACAAAAGTAAATAGTATCATTTTGACAAAATATACTTGGCTATAACTTACACGATGACGATCACTCTTACGATGTCCAGTCAATGGTCCATAAAAATTGATATTGCACATAGGGCAGTAGTTACGGAACAATGGTTTTGCTTTGCCCTTATTTTGAGCTTGCATGCGTTCTAGATCAATTTCTCTTTGATTTTCAGCAGCTTTTATTTGATGACGCATTAACTCAACTTGCATTTTGTATCCTTCATCCAAGTATGTCATCATTAATTCATGTGGACGACCACGGACATGTTTTTCAAATGACTAAAATATAATTATTTCAGTTAATGTTTTTAGGTATATATGATAAATAAGCCAATATTATAACATTAAAATAATATTTCATGTCACTTACAGCACCATCCCACATGTGCTTTTGACAAACGTGACAAAATAACACAGCAGTTGGAATACCATCATAATCCACATGTTCCTATGAAGTAAAGTAATATAATCGTATTAAATATTTGAATTTTTTTAATCAAATACGAGTATATTATAATGTATATATTTTATTTACTTGTTCAGCTGTATCTTTCTTGACACCATTTGTTTCCTTACTAAAATGTTATAAAAATTAAAATAATATTAATAACATTTTCTAAAACAAAATATTATACAAATTTAAAAAATTTTAAGAATCCTAATTGAAAAAACAATAATTTAAAAAATAAAAACATTTGTAAATTAAATAAGCAATTAGTTCCTACATTTTTGGCAATTTCAGTTTCAATAGATATTATACAATTGTTTACTCCGTAAATAGATATAATAAAACTATTCCAAACATTTTAGAAATCCTAAATATTAATATTAATCAATTTAGATATTTATAAAAATTAAGTACAGTAGAATACAATTCCATGTACACTTCTAACCACACAATTCATTAACATTAGTAAAAAATTTTTAGAAACATGGTACAGAATACCTTCATTTTTTCTAAATAATATTTAATAATTTATAATTTTAATAATATCTAGTAATAAAAGTAATTAAAAGAAATATATCATAGTAATTATAATTCTCGTACTAAAAAAATTACAAAAATTTTATTTTGATTATGTATTGTTTTTTTATTGAAAATATGTGATAATTTTTAATACCTATCACAGGGCAATAATTAATCACTACAGATTATATTAATAATAAAATAAGAAGAAAAACATTATTTTGTAAGTATAATAAATATTTAAATTAGTGATGGGTGGAATCCTGATTTTTAAATCGAACTGAACTTGAACCGAAATTTAAATTATTTTTTCGAACTCCAACTGAACCGAACTTTCATATTTTCTATCGAACCAAACCTATTATGATTTTAAGTCGAACAGGAACTCAATATTATTTATCATATACATTGTACCTACCTACAAATTAAATCAACTATAATTATTAATTACTATTGTATTATTAACAATTTATTTACATTTTGATAATTTCTTATTATTATTATTTTTCAAAACCAGTATTGTGCTCTCTCGTGTTGTCTTGTAGCTTATAAAATATTCATTGAATATTGAGTATTAAATATAATATGACAATACAATCAGTACATTTTAATAATATATAAAAAAAGTAGAAATAATAACAAAAATTCACAAATATAGAATGATAAGTAGAATTTATAATGCAAGACGTAAGTTGTAAACATGTTTTTATTAACAGCACAACAGTCGCGGTATCGGAATATTACCATGAATTTACCCAAAATAGATTTTAACCTCTATGATAAATATGATAAAAACAAAAATAGCTAATTTATGAATGTAGATACACTGCCTCTATTGAAGATAAACTTATTAATGTTTTAGTCGGCGGAGGGTGAATGTGTAACATGCGACTGGAAAAATAACATTATTATAATAATAGCATTACTATAAATAATGCATAACGTGTCCCTTACAGATTAACACTTTCTATCGCCAATAGTCCAATTATTTCTAAATAATCATTATCAATTTTTATTTTACAAAAATAAATTGAAGAATTGTACAATTCAATTCAAATCGTGGCCAGTAAGTCTGGTTCAACAAATAACTTCAAGCACGATTTTCGAACAATAAAAGATGCTTGATATTTCAGTTCGATTTTTTTCATGCAGAGTTCGAATTTCGAACCGAACCCTTGATGTTCGGATTCGAGATTCGAACAGTTCGATCCATCAATAATTTAAATATATTAATATAAAGACATGGACATTTAATATATAAATAAATTTCAATAAGTAAACCATACTTATTTCTGTATATTTGAAACTTTTAATATTAATATTTTATTATTAAGTTAAGTTATTAAATTGAATTACAATAAACCATTAACAAAATGATATAACGTATAATAATATTATTATATATAATATATTGTATAAATATAATTAGATTTAATTTACATAAATTATAGATGTATAGAAAATATTTAATTAAATCAATTAAAAAAACCTATTACAGAACAATTAGATAAATATTTTTTTATTTAACCAATACAATACATGGATAGCCAAATTATGTATCTTCCTGATAGGCAAATTACACTAATCTGGGCAAAATAAATGTTAAAACCTTATAAAACCTTAGACATTATTAAAAAAAAAATCTAAATTTAAGATAAAATCATTATTTTTCAATTTTATTGTTTAATACAAATAACTTGAAGTTATAAACATATATTTTTAAAGTACTATGGAAGTTCAAAGATAAATTTTGATTGATATTAACTTGGTAAACTATTTTTAAGTATAAAAATATCTGAATTCTCAAATGAATGTAATAGTAGAAAAAAAAAAAAAATATATTTTAATCCATAGAATTTAAGTAAAATATTTTATAAAAAATATAACTACCACTTTAATAGTACATATTAATTTTATTTAAATAAAAGTGATGATAAGAAAATAAAATGATTTTGTCTTATAAATTAAAGTTTGATTAAATTAAATATTTTTTAAAAATTACTGTTTATTAAATTCTGCACTTAAAAAGTAAGATATAATTTAAATTACTTCATAGTAAATATAATTAATTAATACCTAAAATAAATAGTTACAAACCAATGTACCTTATAAATAAATACATTAAATACTTACTTGATGCACTTTATAATAAAGGGATTATATTTACAATTATTATAAAATAGGTTTATGAATTAGTTATTCATATTTATTAAGAAAAAAAAATTATGTAAAAAGAAGAAAAATAACAAATCATAAGGGTTAAAATAGTAAACAAATAATAAATCCTACTTCTTCTTATATTTCAATAAAATGGAATGGAATATATGGGCGGATAAAATAATTTAACTGAAGAGGTTGCCAAATGCTTGTAAAAATAGCAGCGAAGATATATATAAATATATATTTATATAAATCCGGAATAATAGATTTTATGAAATGAATCCTTACCTCTTGTCATTTTTATCCGCTTCAGGTTTAGAATCCTTTTTCTTATCGTCCTTTTTTGGAGGAGGTCTACGATTGCGATTATCAGGCCTGCGCCGGTTTTGGTTCTGGCGGTTATCAAACAACCGATCAATTATTGTGCCAGGAACAGAGAGATTCGATAGAGCACAACAAATGAAAAACAAACTCAGATGAGATTATGAAATTTGTTCGATAATTCGATTGCCAGCAAAACGAATCAGCCAGCTCCAGAATTCTAATTGCCAACGGCAACAGGCCAAACTCAGATTAGCTAAAACGCTCAGCAATATATAATTGGCAAATCGAAACCATTATTATAGAAAATTTAGATATACTATAAATATTTTTACATAAGTACTGTACAAAAACCTAGTTTGAATAATTCCCTAAAATTTACTATTAGGAATATTTTACAACCTATTCAATTTTTTTTTCTTTAAATTTGCTAAGTGTTTATAATTGTTTTTCGCTAGATCTTAAGTAATATAAATTTGAAATAAAACCTAGTTATACCTTAAACGATTCCTGTCTTCTTATCATTCCAGGATTTGGACCCCAATTTTGGCCACCTCCATATCCACCCTAGAATATTTTATTTATATTTATAATAGCAACAAATATAAATAATAACATAATAAATTATAGGTTTATTTTTTACCTGATTAGGAGCTAAAAGCTTTGATAAAAGATCGCTAGCAAGAGCCATTTGATTAGGATGAACATTGGGCATCATTCCACCTCCAGGAGAAACACCTGATTCCCAAGGGCTCATCTTTGGATTTCTACCATAATTATTGTAATTGTTGAAACGGCCGCCACCGCCACCACCAGCATTATAATTGCCACCGCCACCACCACTTCCATAGTTGCCAGGGCCACTGAAATTATTGCCTCCACTTTGACCATAGGAATTTCCATAGTTTCCACTATTTCCTCCTCCATAACCACCACTTCGACGATTATATGACATTTTTCTGTAAATAAATTTTATTTTTTTAATAATTAAATCTATTAGAAAAATATAATTAAGTCATTAAAAAAAATGTATGATTCAGACAGTAAAGTATTAAATCTCACAAGGGTAATTTAGACTTTTTCACAAATACAGTAATATTGTATGCTTGGATAGACAACTATATAACGGTCAGCTTATAATAGAGAAACCTTGATCGCAGTAAGCCAAATGACAATTGGACGAGTAAACACACTTGACCCTTGGAAGGTTTTACAAGTAGATTTGGTAAAATTTGATTATTACGAACAATTGAAACGCACACGTTTCTATACCAAAAAGAACGATTTTAGGCATGATAATGATAACACACACGAAGTGTTTTAAGTACAAATAATAATCTACTCGTCACGCTAAAAAAAATGAAAAAGTGAAAAAACGAAAACGAAAGAGTAAATAAATAAATCGATCAACTGCTATATCGGGAGAAAATAGTAAATAACGATGTACAATAAAATTACACAATTATACTACATAAAAGCGCGTTGACATAACGTGGCACGCGTCGGTCAGTGAGTCTAATGAACCCCCCTCCCACTGAACCGCTAACCCACCTATGCTAACTGCTGTGGAGAAACGACTATGAATTCAACGATTCGACCTAAGTAGCACATAGGTGAACTCACCTCCGTCCACCCGGGTGGAAAAGATTACTATCAGACAAGCAAGTTAGGGACGGCATTGAACCTATTACATGCCGGTAGCGGAACGAACGAGGCTTATTACTTTCCAACAAAATAGTGTTTAGATTGGCGCGAACAAGACAATCAAAACAACGATTGCGTTACATCGTAATAAATAAACGTAATTATAATGACCGTTTACGTTAGTTCGGAAACTGCGATCGCCTGAATGATAATAGACGATCGACCGGTGGCGAGACTTCGCGACGTCAAAATGTTTTACGACGAAACCACGAAACGGACGAAGAATTTCCCATTCCATCGACGAAATGGACGTCCACGAAAGAACGATAATGAAATGTGCAAGCCAACAACAATTACCAGCGGCCACGGTCGCCAACAGCGGTGACGACGACCGGGACCGCGAACGGCGTAGTTAACGTAATACTCACAGGTGTCCGTGGACTGTTGCGGCGAAGACGTTTGAACTTGGAACGTGCAAGACGAGGAACGGCTCTTCTCGCGCTTTACGGTCAACGGTTTGCGTTTAACGATGGTGAATGGAAACGGGCCAAACGAAACGGCACGACGAAAATTCGACTACGGGAAGCAAAGACGCACGTACGAGAACCGCAGCTAAAATGGTGGAAACCGACGCCGAAAGCAATAGCGGGACCGCGGCAGTGTGACCAACCGTTGTCGCGTGAGAAACCGTCGTCGCGGGAGAAACCGGCGCGCGCGGAACGCACACCGCCATCAACAGCGGTAAATAATAGTATAATATTCATTGTTATTCACCTCACCCGTTCCGGCACCGATCAATCTCATCTCATGCGTTGATCCACCGGTCGCCGCCGCCTTCGCACCTACTCCATCACGCCCGTCGAACTCCGCTCCCATCTCCATCACAACGGGGAAGGTGCGCATTTTCTGCGGTTCAAAAATCCGATGGTAGCGGTACGCCGCGCCGGCAACCACCTATTGCTATCGTTCTAGAAATGGGATTAATCGTACAACTAGGTGAACTATTCAGTCGTTTATTGTTCACTAAAATGAAAAACTTCATCGTTCATATGTATAATATATATTATGTATTATATCATTCATCGTTCTCCGTATCGACAGGGCTGTCCAAAGAGGAAGGGACAAAGGGACTATTTTTCCCCAGGCCCCATTGTTGGAATATTTTTTAGGGGGCCCCATAAAGTCTTGATGTATAATAATTAATAATTAAGCCTCGATTACACCAAGCAATTTTACACGCTGCGTGTCGGCAATTAAAGTCGCGCGTGTGTGAGCGACTTGTCCGATTACATTGAGCGATTAAATTATAAATAATACGAATAATATTCAATTATATTATGTAAGTATGTAATGCAGTACATGAATTTAAATGAACTTGATTGGTTAAGGTTTGAAAAAAATACGTTTGCAAGAATTTTGTTATTCTCAATGAGTATTTTGTTTATCATATCTTATTATTATGGTCGAAGGACCCCCAAATTAATTTAACCCTGGACCCAAAAAACCTTTGGACGGCCCCGACTATCGACGATACGAGAAACTAATCGTTCACATAAATGAACGATTCAGTGATTCAGTCGTTTCCAGTGGCGTAGATACAATTTTTTTCTGGAGGGAGGGTTTAAGAGTCAATTCATAATATTTTTGTAGCATATCTTAATACTACGTCCTACATAATAATACTAAATTTAAAATAGTATTATTATAAGTTCCGTATTTAATGAAAATTATTTTGTTACTCAATTTTTAATATAATTTTACTATACAGTAATCCCTCGTTATCCGCGGAGGTTAGGTTCCAGGAAAGTTGCGCGGATATCGAAACCGCGGATAACGAGACCATAAAGCAATGTAAAACGGGAAGTTAGGTTTTATTTACATACAATTTTTAATTTTTATTAGACATTTTTATTTATTTTTATTTTTATTACACAAAAAGGTTAATATGTTTTACAATTACATATTATGTATTTATTTTTTTAATATAATTTATTAATTATTTATACATACATACATAATATATTAGGAAGGATGAAAAAAATTTGTAATTGATGTTTGTTTCCTTTTGTTTTCTATGTCTTTGCGAACTTCTTCGTAAGGCACCAGCAATTCTTGGATTCCTCTTTTGAACTTTAATGCTCTTTCAGTGAGTGGATCCGTCATAAGAACTTGTTCAGTTAGTTGGTTTGCTAATGAAAAAATCTCTTTGATTGATTTAGAGGAGAAATCCGGCTTCACAGGTTCTTCTTCCTCTTCATCATCCTCCGATTGTTTTGGTTCGTTCGGGGTTTCGGTAATTTCTTCTAGATCCTCCAATGTAAGTTCCTGATCATAGTTAAACATCATTTCTTCTATGTCGTCTCTATTTACCTCATCAAAACCTTTTACGTTCCGAGCAATTTCTACGATTTGATTCACCGTGGTGTTCAGATTGTCAATTTTATCGCTTTTCAACACAACTTCTGGCCATAATTTTCGCCAACAAGCATTTATAGTCGAGGGCTGAACTTCATCCAGTGATTCTTTGATATTGACGAGACATTTAGCGATGTCATAATTTTTCCATCCTTGTGTAACTGTAAGTTCTGGATCTTCTTCTAAGTTTTTTAATAGACGTTGAAAAGTTCTTCGTACGTAATAGGCCTTAAACGCTGCAATCACCCCTTGGTCTAATGGTTGAAAAAGTGAGGTAGTGTTTGGAGGCATAAACATGACTTCAATGTCAGAATGTTGAAATTTTAATGAGGGGGGATGGCCAGGGGCATTGTCAATTAGCAATAAAGCTTTAAAAGGGAGATTTTTTAATTTTAGGTACATCTCCACTTGAGGAATAAAACAGTTTGTAAACCAATCACTAAAAATTTGTGCAGTGACCCAAGCTTTATTATTTGCTCTCCAAAACACTGGCAAGTGATTCATGTCTTTAGATTTGAAGGCTCGTGGTTTAAGTGATTTATAAACGACCATTGACTTTATCATGAAACCACAAGCATTAGCACAAAGCAATAAGGTGAGTCTGTCTTTAGCTGCCTTGAATCCCGGTGCTGTTTTTTCATTTTTTGATAAAAAAGTTCTTGATGGCATTCTTTTCCAAAAAAGACCTGTTTCGTCTGCATTGAATACCTGTTCGGGGGTGTAACCACCCTGTTCAATGACATTTTTTAACTCTATAGGAAAATTTTTAGCTGCTAAATGGTCTGCCGAGGCAGACTCGCCAACTAGTTTGACGTTGTGAAGGTTACACCGATTTTTGAATTTTTCAAACCAGCCTTTGCTTGCGAGGAACGACGAATTTTCGCTATCCCCCTTTGATGAACTTGTAAAATGTTGATGAAGTTGTTTAGCCTTTTCTCGTATAATTATAGAACTGAGAGGAACTTTTTTTTGGGTCTGGTCTTCAATCCAAATATTTAAGGCTTTTTCGGTCTTCTCTACCATAACATCACGCGTGATAAAACACGTTTTACTGGAAATAGGGGCACTTTCCATAACACTGCGTCGTATTGCCACTTCATTTTTTCTTATTTCTCGAACACTAGACTCGTTCATTTCGTACTTCCTAGCAAGTGACGCTACGGTATCACCACTTTTTATTTTATCCAAAATTTCAATTTTTTGCACAAGTGTCAAAACTTTTCTTCTCCTTTTCATTGAAATTTTAGGTTGAGAAGCCATTTAAAATGAAGTATGTATGGTACTGAATTAATTACAAATATAAATTAAATTAAATGTAGTAATATTTACATACAACCGTACACGTGTCACGCACTAATATCAACCAACAACTGAACAATTTTAAGATATAACAAATTAACCGTACATATTAAGGTATGTACATTATGTAGCTTATCTGTTATAATAGTATGGGTATAATAAAGATAAAATTTCATCGTATGTATAAATAAAATGTTATCGCCGACCCAACCGTGGATAATCGAAACCGCGGATTAAAAATCCGCGGATAACGAGGGATTACTGTAATATGTAAATATTAATAAATAATAATTTAATATCATTAAAAAAAAAAAATCTGGGGAGTGGAAACCCCTTACAATCCTCTCCCCCGTAACTACGCCTCTGGACGTTTCATCGTTCATATTATATAATATATTGTATAACGTAGTGTTTATATTGTGTTCTCCGTACATACGGGTATACAAAGGCGCCAGGTTTTAAAAAACTTAATGCGTACCTTGCCCGACCTTGGTATCATAGGCATAATGCACAATTTGGGGGATGGGGCTTAGCCCCTGGTCGATAAAAATGTCCCTATAAAATTAAAAAAAAGCATGGAATTGCTTTGGGGGCTAGATACAATTTAATCTTCAAAAATTTTAATTTTAGCTCTCCAAATTGCGCCTATTGGTGTTATGACTTTACTACTTAACTAAAAACTTTTTTTATCGATTTTATTAATATATATAAATATTAAATAATACAATATAATAATATTAACCATATTGTACACTGAAAAATGCAAATTCATCATTGATTAAAAAATATTATATTAATTAATAATCATACAACAAAATAAATGTGTACTAAATTAATAGCTTATTTATAAATAATAATTAGTAAAACAAAAAAATTAATTAAATTTGCCGGTTTACATAAAAAATGTGTTCTGACGTATTTTAGTTGAATTTATAAATGAGTTAGCTATTTGATCAATATCTTCATTACGCTTGACATGCAATAAAGCAATATCGTTAATACGATTTTGTGTCATTGTAAACCTTAAAAATGTTTTTAATCTTCGTAGAGCTGAAAAAGATCTTTCCGCAGTACAAGACGTTACTAGAACCGTAAAAATAATTTTTAGAAGTTTATTAAACTCTGTTAAAATACATCCAAGCGAATTACCCGATTTAAATATATCTATGGTATCTTGTGTACTGTTTATACTAATTTTTCTTGATTTTAAAATATCTAGAAACACATCTGTATACAATTGGAGTTTTTCTTGATTTAAATCAATCCCATATAAGGAACTAACATGTGTTACCAATTTTTCTTTACGAATTATAAATTTTTGAAGTTCGCATAAATGATTAATTACATTTTTTTGAAATCGGTTATTTAATAAGTATAATGTAACATCTAAAAGTTCGTAAAATGTAATTTTGTATTTTTCTCTAACTGTGAAAATGTATGCCCTTCTCTATAATCTTGAAGTAATTTCTTAGTTTTTTTTATTCTCAGTTCATTTGGCTTTTTCAGTTTTAGACTACTAGATTTTACTAAAACTTGTTCCCATAAGCCATCAAATCCAGTATCTCTTAGTTGTTGAATATATATGATAATGTTTTCAATTGTTCTTCTTGAAAACTTAAAGAAACTTGAAAACTTACAAATTAACTGCCAAGATGTAGCAAAAGAAATAAGATCTTTGAGCTTTGGCTGATCAATAAAGGGTAACAGTTCACATATTTTAACAAACGCATTAGATGATAAGCCATTTTTCTTGTATCATCGAACCTTTGAGGATCGAAACATTCTAAATCCGTATATAAAATCTGATAAGATAAAAATTGTACCTCTAAACTATTTAAAATAGTGTTCATTGTATAATTAAATATTTTTATACGTCATATCGTTCATCTGGTTTTGATATTTTTAAGAAAGTTTTGCTTGATTCTCCAATAACGTCATTGGTATAAATATAAAATAGGTAAGGGGGAGTTTTGGGTGTTCAAACAACCCCCTGAAACAGTTCGAGTTGTCATTGATTCTTTCAATTTTCTTAGCCAAAATGCTGAGATGAAATTTAACCTAATATTTATTACGGCTTCAAAAACTTTAACTAATGTTGGTGGCACAATGAGTGTACCAAGATTTTTAAAAAAAAAAAACAAATTAATGGAGACAATTATTAAGATTTTACGCCGGAAGAATAGTATAGAAAAGCACTTTTATACTATGTTTTGATCATCAATGACATATTTAAAGGGAGGGGATAGAGGGGGCGATCGCCCCAAGCTGCATTTTTTTTAGGGACGGCATCAGATTTTTACACATTCCATTTTATGTTAATGAACAATATAAATTGGTTAATTTTTTTTTTATCTAAGATAATATTCTAAGATTGGAAATATTTATGGGAGGGGGGGGGGGACAAAAATTATCGACGATAAACCTCTCCTTCAAAATGTAAATAAGTTACTTACGATCGAGAATGACCTATGAACGATTAAACAGTATGGCTATATTAAATATTGAATCAGACATCACAAAAAGTTTATAGTAAGATGGTATAACCAATGAGTATGGTTCCTTTAAAATTCGTAAAAAAAATATGTATATTGTAAATATTGTTTTATAATAATAATAAATAAACCTATTTTATATTTGTGATTAATTTATAAAGATAACATAATGTTTAAAATTTAAACTGTGCTTTCTTTTTCTAACAAATAAAAATTATTTAGTGAAAATTTTTGATTAAATAATCAATGGGAACTGGTTCCATCAGAGAACACAAAAAGTAAATACATTAAAAACAAAAATGTAACAAATAAGTTAGAAAGCGCTTGAAAAGATAACGATAACGTAAAGGCTGTTATACGGCCTACGGGTGGTTACTGGAAGGTAAGCTCCGACGCGCTCAGTAGGAGGAAAAATTTAAATAATTTTTGTTGGGGGGGGGGGGGCGGAAAAATGTTAGCACCCGGGCGCCAAATTTCTGTAACAAATTTAAAAAGTAAGTTTGAACAGCATTATGATTTAATTTTATCTTTTCAAAATATTATGCCGAATAAAGTGGTTTTTACAAATAAGAAATATGTTATTAATTTATGGGATTTTTACAAGACAATAATTTCGGATTATCAACAGTTTAATTCGGAATATTTACTGTGGAAATTCAAATGGGTAAGAGAAAAAGAAGATTGTAGACCATCCTCAGTATTTGAAGAATTTTTAAAATGTGATTCTGAATTTTTTCCAAGTATAAAACAAATGTTAACTATTATTTCTACACTTCCCGTATCAACTACTATTACAGAAAGAACTTCTTCTCAACATTACGTCGTATTAAATCATATTTGAGAAATTCGGCAGGAAATTAATGATTAACTGGACTTGATTTGCTAAGCGTTCGTTGTGACATTAATATTGACCTGGAAGAAGTAATCAATATTTTTAAACTTTAACTAAGAAAACAAGGTTTTATCTTATAATTTTTTTCATATTTTTAAATTTATAATTTATAAGGACAAAATATTGTATTGGTATTCAATTGTATTAAATAAATAATTCATATATAATTTTAATGTTTTATAGCACTAATATAAATATAGACCAAAACTCCCTTAAAAAATATTTCTTACCTACGCCCATGCACTGATTCATTATTTACTTTGGCATTCGGTGTAGTGTTTGGATAGTTGCTGACACAATGAAATGCAACAGTATAGGTTAGTAGGTCACGCGCGTCCATTGTGGATTAGTTTTAAATTCATCTACGTTTGGGATTATATATTTAGAAAAATGCGTTCCCTTAGAAGTTTGCAAAGATACTGTTTAACTACCTCGCTGATAAATTTTTTAACAAATTTCTTAAAAAAACAACTCAAGATTTTTCTGTTTGCTCCACTAGCCACAAAACTAAAATTATGCGTATGCATTGTAATTACGTTTTAGACATTTTTGTAAACCAATTTCATATAAGGCCAGCATTTCAGTAAGTTTACATGAGTTAGTTGTGGTGTCTCCATAAAAAACTCTTATCAAAAAGAGGAAAATTTAAGATTTTTGGAAAATTTCCAACAAATATTAACAAAAATATTACAAATAATCACTTCAATACAAAAGCATTTATTAAATGAGTACAAAAAATTTCAAACAACTATGGTTAAATAACTACAGTATAATTACAATTTAAAAGCCTAATTTTTGGTTTATTTTCACTAGACACTTTCAACTATAAGTTATAGAAAAGAAAAGTAAACATAAAGTTTATATACAACATTTTATTCAAACTGTACAATTAAGTATCATTTAGTGTTTGAATAAAACTATTTAAATCATATTCATCATCATAAATCTTGGTGTCCCAAAGTTCTGGCAAAGTTTCAAGAACAGATTTAATGGAACCACTTGAAGAACTAAGTTTATTTTTTTCTTTCGATGGATCATCCAAAGAAAATAAATCTAATAACTAAAAAATGAATTAAATTAGTTTTGGATTTAATCAAATTATTATACAGTATTAAACTATTACTTTATCAGTTCCCATTGTTTGAAGACTTGAATTTTCACATGATATAACTGTATTAGCAGTTTTTAGCTTAAATTTTTGAAAGCTAAAATATAAATTTAAAATAATAGTAACTTCAAAATTAAAATATATTTATTAAAACACATACTTCATTATTTTTTCTTCAAGTGTTGATCTAGTAATTAAACGGTATACATTGACTACCTTTTTTTGACCAATACGATGTGCTCGATCCATAGCTTGTAGATCTCTCATAGGACTCCAATCATGTTCTACAAATATTACCTACAACCAATTTTACTTAATGTTTTAATTTTATTTTTAAGATAATGAATATTTCATACAGTATCTGCTCCAGTTAAATTTAGACCTAAGCCTCCAACTTGAGTAGTCATTATAAGTGTATCAATTGATGGATCAACATTAAACCGATTAACGAGTGCATACCTTTGAGATACAGGCACACTACCATCTAGACGAAGATAACTAACATTTGGCATATGAACTCTAAAAATATTTAATTTATTAGTTTATATCTAAATTATATTAAATACAGTATAACCTACTTGAAGAGATCATTTTCAATTATATTCAGCATAGATTTCAGTTGACAGAAAATTAAAGCTCTATGTGGGCTTATTACAGATTCATCATTGTTCGTTAATCCAATACCACAGTCTGTTAAAAGTTGTCTAAAATTAAAATATATATAATTATAGACATTTTTTTTTTTTAAATAATATAAAATCATTTACTTGAGAGCTGGTAATTTGGCAGCATGTTGAATATCAGTTAAACTAGAATTAGATTCTGAAATTTGCTGAAGTATATGAGAATATTGAGGATGTTGTGGAGTTAGTACAAGTTTTGGATGATTACATACATTTTGTAAATAACGCAATGCCTATAAATAAGTTACTTTATTAATATTAAAGTTTTATTAATTATAATATACAGTAAAAATATAAATAGTAGTATGATAAAATCTTAAAACATACCTGTAACATATTATTTTTAATTAAAGAGTGAGAATTGTTAGGTTCGTTAGAGTCTGATAATTTCTTATGTATATGGATTCTTGAAAAGTCTTCATAAAGTTGTTGCTGAATAGGACTCAAATCACAATAGTAATCCTACATATAAAAGTATTATTAATAGAATGTTTGATTGATTCTTTTAAATAAAAAAATATATTTTTATTTACCTGAGTTATTTTAGGTGGCAGATCACTTAACACATCTTCTTTCATTCTACGTAACACAAAAGGTAAAACTTGACGATGTAATGCTTCCATAGCTAAAACTCCTATAAAATATAAACTATTTGTTATTAGAAATGCAAACAATTTTTTTAAATATAATAATTTTAAATTTAAATAGATAAATTTTATTTTTAATTCATAAGTCTTGAAATAAATAAGAAATATTATGGAATTTTATTATTTATCCAATATTCATTAAAATTAGAGTGAAGTAGTTTATATCAATATATGAGAAATGTAGACCAGTTTTTAAAACTGAAAGAAAAAATTGATAAGTTGAATAAACTACAAAGGTGGTTAATTGACCAACAAGATATATTATATATAAAAATAATATTTGAGTATTAGAATATATTCATATTTATTAATTTTGTAAGAACCCATGATAGACACTAGGAAATTTAAATGAGATTAAAACATCAAGTATATATTTTGGGCGTTGAACCACTTTTCACATTAAAAAATAAAAAACTTATAGAAAAATAAAAGAGCTAATATTTTATGTTCTAATTAGATTAATTGCAATGCATTTCTAAAAAACATAGTCTAAAGTAAAAATGGATAAGAAAAATTAAATTGTGTTTAGGTGAGAAATATTACAAAATATTTTTGAATCAAAAAATAATTTCAAAACTTATGAGCGATAGGTTTTACACATAACTAAAAATGATCTTATAAGGTTAAATAATTAAATAAATATATATATTATTTATAAAATAAATATTAGGCAAAATGGCAATACTGAAGAGCAAAAGGATTGAATGAAGAAAATGTATGCCTGGCCTCCAGCATACAGAAAGAAAAATGTTAAAAATAATTTTACTTAAGAAAAGCCATATAAAAAGAGGCGCTTAGGAACAAGACAATGATGGTGCAAATGTAAAAACAGAACTTGATAGAATATATAACAAATAAAATTGATACAAGGTTATTTTGAAATTCTATTAAGTACTTATAAGATTTTAATTATTATTAATATTTTATGATATTAGAATGATCACAACTTAAATGTGTTGGATACAAGATTATTTCCATAAATTAGAAAATAAGCATTAGTATATTGACAAAAAAAAAAAAAAGAATGTTAAGTGTAACAGCATTGTTATAAAACAGTTTCTGAAATAAAATCTGAATCATATATGTAGCAGAAGTCATAGATTTTCAGCGATGAAAAAACGTCATATATATCAATAGATTTATTGAAAAATTCAATCTTATATGATCAGAACAGATGTATGAATATGAGGAAGAAAAATTATCACCATATAAATTTAAAATATTTAATCAAACATGTGTAGAGTTGTTGAACACAAACATATTTGTTAACAATTATTATTTAGCTTAATATCATTCTAATTACTAAGTCCTTTTTTTATAAAAAATTATAATGTAACACTTAAATATAATTTACCGGCTTCTTGTTCTTTAGATGAACACTTAGCATCTCTACTAGCTAATATTGGTTTACTATATTTTGCAGAAAATTGTTTTTCTGTGCCTAAGAAACCAGGCATTAAGAAGTCAAATAGTGACCATAACTCAAGAACACTATTTTGAATTGGAGTTCCTGATAAAACTAATCGATGATTTGCTTTTAATTGTTTAATAGCTTGACTAGCCTTAGTTTTCCCATTTTTGATAACATGACATTCATCTAGTATGCAGTAATTGAATTTTATTTTTGAAAAAAATTCAATATCCTTGCGCACAATATCATATGAAACAACAAATAAGTTATATTTGTCAGCATATAAGCGTAATCTGAAACATTGTGTAACAAATTATTAAAAAAAAGATTTAATTAAGTAAGTTAATAAATAAAAATATATATTGAAGATCTTTAAATAAAGTAATTTTTTTTTTACTTTTGTCTTTCTAAAGGCAAACCAGAGTATTGTAATGGTTTTAGTATGTTATTTGGAATAAACTTATGTACTTCATGAGTCCAGTGGCCAATTAATGTAGGGGGACAAACAACTATAGATGGTAAAGGAACTGAATCTGGACTTTTGGTTTCCTATAAAATGTTTGTATAATATAGTAGTTTATTAAATTATAATTAATTTGTTCATTACCTTATACTTTTCATTTTTATTGTAATGATCACTAGCAAGTATACACAATGACTGTATGGTTTTGCCTAAGCCCATATCATCACATAAAATTCCATGTAACTTGTACTTATTCAAAAAGGCTAACCAATTCACTCCAGTTTGTTGATAGGATCTTAATTTAGTGTTTATTACTATAGGAACTTTGAAATCATTTATTTGATTAGGATTAAAAAGTTGATCTAAAAATGTTCGCTGTGATTGAATTAATGTATTCATTTTATCACTTAAATTTGGCGGAGTAGGTACACTGCCATCAAGTGGCATTAATTGAATAAGGTTTGCAAAACATTGAGATGACATTTTACGAACATTTTCTTCTTGATCACTTAGACGGCCTATAATAACGATACCAATATTGAAAAATATTAATATTGCATATCAAAATTTATAAAATATATTTTACCTAAAAGTGGGATGACTAATAATACAATATAAGGAACTATTTCAAATTGTAATTTCTCAACAATACAAACAACTGCTTCAATAGCCCCTTTTCGTTTTACATCAGAATCAGGTGCATCAAGAAGTGGCAATACATCTTTTACAATAATTGTCATAGTGGTAACAGAATTCAGTTCAACAGATGCAGCTAAACAGCGAGCAACTATATGCCTGACTGCTGAATATGGATGAATAATAAGCTTGGTAAAAATTGGCAATAACTCTAAAAGCTACAAAAAATAAATTATTGCTTAGTAATAAAATAAATGTCAAAAAAATTAATATTGTACAAACAACAGCATTAAGATAATTTTATTATTACCTTCGTAACATAACATTTATGCATTTTTGAACATACAACTTCAAATACTTGTAAATTTTTAATTAATTCTTGTGCTTCTTCATCTTTATCTTTAAAGGTATTCAAATCTATAATTTAAAATGAACAAATAAAAATAATATAATATATACGGTTTCATGATTTAATTTACAAAATATAATTTACTTGGATCATTTTCCGGAAATTTAATATTTTTTATACTATTATATACTATTTCGAAAAGTCTAGGTAGTTTACTTTGTAGATGTTCTCCAAAACGCAAGCAAATAGTTTGTAAGGCATATAATGCTCCTCTCTTTTGAATATTATTACTTAATTTATGTTCCTGTAATATATAAGTGTGTTGACTAGATTATTACAGTAAATATTTTATAAACATTTTTTTTCTTCTTGTATAACATAATAAAAAGTTAGTTACGGGTAAAATTATGTTCACTAGTTTAATTTGATATACAGGGATTTAAATGAATAATATTAATTATTAATTTAAATAATAAATTATTTAATTGCTGAACTTATTTTAATCTAAAAGTAGCCATTGATGCACAACTTAGTGTATAACTATTAAATACAATGAAATTAAAGTATTAATGAACAAAATATTTTAATATAATAACCTGGTCTTCATCGCTTAACACAATTTCTACATTTATATCACAGTGTACTGGTGGTCTTCCTGAACCTCGCGGTCCATTACGTTTCATTAACAATTTTTCAGCATTCTGTAACAAAATAAATCACAGAGTAAATAAATATTGACTGATAAAATAAAATACAGTCGACTCTCGGTAACTCGAACCTTGATAACTCGAAATTCTCGATGTCTCGAATAATTAAAATTCCCCTTCAAATAACAATTACACTTAATGTTTAAATAATCTTGGTAACTCGAAAATTAATTTGACAAATTTTCGATATCTCGAATTTTCTTATCCAAATTTAGTACTAAAAGTAGTTTATCAAGGCGATTATTTTTCGCCTATCACTTGTTTTGTAAAACCCGACCATTATAATCAACTAAATGTTTGTAACTTAAACCTTAATAATTTCATACAATAGATTTCATTTTTAGTTCTATGCCGTTTGTTCGTTTAACCGTTTATTGAGCGAGTGTAACAGTGTTAAATCAGTGGTTATTATGGCTCAAAAAAGAAAATTAACAACATTATCACTTGCAGAAAAAGTGAACTTACTTAGAATTATTGAAAAAGGTGAAAAGAAAAAACAAGAAATAGCCAAAGATTTTGGAATTCCAGCGAGTACATTATCTACAATAATAAAAAGTAAAGAGGTAATTTTGAAAAACTTTAATGAAAACTCGGCAACTCGAAAAAAAATGAAACCAGGAGAATACTCTGATATAGAATCCTGTTTATTAAAATGGTTTCAACAATGTCTTGACAAAAAAATTCCAATAAATGGACCCATTCTACGAGAAAAAGCTGAAGAGTTTGGGTATAAGTTGGGGCATGTACATTTTAAAGCCAGCAGTGGATGGTTAACAAATTGGAAAAACAGAAATAATGTTGTTTTTAAACAAGTTTGTGGTGAAAGTGGCGCTGTAGATGTACAAAAATGTTCCGTATGGATAAATAATTTACCGAAACTCATCGAAAATTATTCTCCAGACGATATTTTTAATGTTGACGAAACAGGATTATTTTTCAAATGTTTACCTGAAAAAACATTTATGTTTAAAGGCCAATCTTGTTCAGGTGGAAAACATAGCAAAGAAAGAGTAACACTTCTGTTAGGGGCGAATATGTCGGGCACGGAAAAATTAAGACCACTTTTGATTGGTAAGTCGAAAAAACCACGATGTTTTAAACAAGTAAAATCATTGCCATTAGATTATCATGCGAACAAAAAATCCTGAATGACGTCTGAAATTTTTAATTTGTGGTTAATGAAATTAGATAAAAAAATGGTCACCGAGAAAAGAAAAATCTTACTTTTTATAGATAATTGTACTGCACACAATTTGACTTCAACTTTAAATGCTATTCAAGTGCAGTTTTTACCTCCTAATACTACGTCTGTATTACAACCATTAGACCAAGGCATAATAAATAATTTTAAAATATTTTATCGAAAAGAAATGGTAAAAAAAATTATATCGGCTTTAAATGGTAACAATCAAATCATAATAAACATATTGGATGCTATACGGCTATGCGATAAAGCATGGCGACACGTAAAAAAAGGAACGATTGTAAACTGTTTTACAAAATCAGGTTTTAAAACTTCAATTGAAAACGATGAAAACACTCCTTATGATCCTTCTGATGATAATAACGATGAATGGGATCAATTAACGGAGAAAATAAATATTGATGAAACCTTTACATCATACGTTAATGTCGATGAAAATTTGGATATTTGTGGAGAATGGACTGAGAACGATATTATCTCCGATATATTGGACGAAGATAACCAAGAAGAATTCGAAGACCAACAAGTACAATCCACCATTACAAATAAAGAAGCAACACTTGCATTAGAAACATTACGTAAATATATTGAAGGCAATGAAGGTATGGAAGATTTATTTAAGCCACTCGATGTTTTAGAAAATAGAATTGAGAACAATATAGTGTTAAATAAACAAAAACAATTAACTTTACACCAATTCTTTAAAAATAATAACATGTAAATTTTCTTTTTTATTTCGTTAATGTAAATACATATTATATAAAAATAAAAACATACTTTTTAAAAGTTTTTGATAACTCGAAATTTTTAGTAAGTCGAATTTTTTTTTTTCCCCCTTGAACTTCGAGTTACTGAGAGTCGACTGTATATATCTTACTTGTAAAATTTTTTGGTGCATGAGAATCAACTGATATTTTCTTTTGTCATCAGTACCCTAAAATAAATGAAATATGTATTAGTTATATGTTCTTATGAAGATTAAATATAACACTTTTAAATAAGTGATAAATATAAAAGAAAAGTTGGAACTTGAAAATCAAAGAGATAAAACATAATATTAGTTAACATATTAAAAAAAAAATACAGTTAAACTATATGGCATGTTTTCCAATCACTTACTATTTTAGGTGTGAACTCTGGATCAACACAAAGAAAAGAACATAAGTTATTAATTATTGTAGTGTTAGGGCATGAAGATCGATCAACACATAAGTCCATCAAAATAGCCAAATGTTCAGCAGACAAGTGCTAAAAATATCAAAATAAATATATACTTATGGATAATTTAAAATATAAAAATCAAGAGAAATATGCATGTTAAAATAAGTAGATATTTTTACTAATATGTAGTATTACTTGTAACATTTCATTTGATTCTTTTTTTATAGACTCCATTAATGGCTTAACAATAGGGCGTATTTTTTCAGGTAAACACTGAAGCATAGTTAATGCACATGCTATTGATGCTTTAGTTCTAAATAGAAATAATATATAGAACATATAATTATTAATTATCAAAGTATTTTATTCAAAAATATAAACTAACATTAATTACTTACGACACAGTTAAAGAAATGAGATCTGAATTTATTTGTTTATGTGATTGATTTAAAGAAAGACGTCTTTCTTCAAGTTGCTCAATTATTTTAGGTCTAAGTTTTAACGATGAAATTAAGAGTTTAGTTTCTGATCCAGTAAGTAGTTCAATATGTTCCAAAGTTACAATCTTTAACAAAATATAAATATTCAAATATATTTTTTTCTTAAAATAATTAAAAATATATGATAAATTATTTCCAATTAATTAGAATAAGAAATTATTTTTAAAGTTATTTGTACTTAAAATTGATAATATATATATATATATTGATTTATATTAATTTTACTTAAAATTGTAAGTTTGAAATTAAAACATTAAACATGATGTTCTAAAAATAATAATTTTTTGTTTAAAACATCACCGATCAACATTTTGTAAATAATACTAAGATGTAATAAAAATTTCATGTATGTACTAAAATTTATCTTACTTGGCTTAATTGATGTGGAGTTGTCATATTATAATGTTTCAATGATGCAAGAAAGTCATGTGCATCTTGTATAAGTCTTGTAATTGAGTATGACATCTCATCATAATAGATAATACGGTTCATGCATTCTGTTAATTTTTCAGTTAATATTTTTGAAGCTACATCTTCTAGTTTTTCTAGTTTACACCAATTCGATATTACAATAGAAGCCATTCGTTGTTGCATACCCACATTAGATTCTAGATTACTAATTAGTAATTTTGTATAGCATGTAACTGGCGAGTCATTTTCATTTACATAACATACATTAGGTGCTGGTTTTATAATAAAACAAGATAGTAAACCTAAACATTTTAAATTTAAATTATAAATATATATATTTATATAAATTTTACGAGAACTTTTTTGATTCTTTGATAAAAGTATTTTAAATGAAAATAAATATACCTAACATTTCTGCTCCTAAATGTCTAGCTTTAATTGCATTTTTTTCTCTTAGATCTACAGGAATAGTCTCATTTCCACCAATATAGTATTTGATATCCATACCGGTTTCACAAGTTGGATTAGATACATTATCTACCTTAAAAATATAAAATTAATATTAATTTAATTCTATTTATTTCATCAAGAATATATATATATATATATTAAGAAAGAAAACTTACTTTATTATGTCCAGTTGAAATATATGGTATGATAGTAGAATTATCATATGGGATTTTTTCTGATTGCATTGTCATTGCCAACCATAATCCAATGTAAGGACAAGCAGCATTTAAAAGGGCTGTTAGGCTACTATTATTTATCAAGTTACTCCAAACCTAATAAAAATTAATTAAGTTTTATAAATTATTTGGATTATTAATATCTTATCAATACCTTTTTAATAATTTTTTGTATTTCTTCATCAGGTTCAACCATAGCTCTTTGGAAAATATGCCTCATAGAGTTTTGAAGTAATTTAATATCTTCAGCACTATCAGAATTTGTAAGTTGTTGAGTTGAAGTTAAAGTCATTAAGGATTTCATAGTAGCTAATCGCACTTGAGTAGCATTGTGTGATAAAAATGACCAAAGTCGAGGTAATACATGGAGAATTGGTTCATTTCTAAAATATATTATTAAATATTTATTTGCTTTTTAATATCAGTTTACTTTCTTGTTATCTTTGAATACTTATATATATATATATATATATATATATATATATATATATATATATATGTATAAATATGTCACAATTGAGTTATCTGAGACTTACATTTTGTACAACTAAGGTTAATTGTTAGGTTATAAATGTGTAATATGAAATTATTGAGTATAATTAGGTAACTACTCAAATACTATATAATATGTATTTATTATAGCATTTATCATTAAAGTAAATTTTAACTATATTTGAATGTAAAACAATGTGTTATGTTATTAGAAATAGAGCCAAACTCATGGCAATAAATAATAGTTGGGATAACAGGAAAGTACTAAATTAAGTACTGAACAACTTACGTCAATAATTTCCCAGATGGAAGACTAAACAATGCAGCTAATAAGGTCATAAAGTTATTACAAGATGCCGTTAAATCATCTTGAATAGCCAACATTTGCCATAAAATAGATATTACATCGGACACCCATTTTTCATCACATCTAATCATATAATCGACTATTGGTAATAAAGCAGATGCAGCTACAGCACTAACATCATCTACAGTATCCATAAGAGACTTGGATATAAATGGAAACGATAAATGTAATATTTTTTCAATGAGATCCTGAAAATTAAAATGTAATATGATTATAGAAAAATATGTAAATAAAGGTTTATTTTTAATTTTAAACAATGTTAAACACATTAATTTAAAAAAAAATAAGTCAATTGGTTTGATATTATTTTGGTTCATAATATGAATATCATGACTGAGGAAGTCACCCATTGATAATAACCTTACATGAACATTAATTTAAGCAAATTATCTTAAGTAAATTATTTAGTTTGTTTAAAATCTAAAATGATAATGTAAATAAAGGAAAAATACATATAAATCATTTTTGATAAATAGTAAACCAAAAATGTTAAATGTTTATAACTCAACTGTAATGAATCTGTAATCAACTACATAGAACACTGAATTTAATCAAATATGTATGACTTACTTTTCTAACAACTAGTAGATATTTCAATCCCAGTAATCCACCATGTCTGGTTGTCCAATCAGTGTGTTGAATAAGTGTTATAAGTACATGAATTATATTTAAAACATTTTCTTCAGACATTAATTTAACAACAAATCCTAAAAATGACCATAAACATAAATATACAAAATTAATTTTACTTTTTTTAAAAATGGTATTATATACCTAAAGCTTGAGCACATGTTTCTCGGACAGGCGCTACAACTTGATCACCAAGAAAATCACCAAAATGATCTAATGCAAGGACACATAATAGTCTTAAGCCAATATCTTCTAACCACGCTTGATGATGAGTTTCCATCTAAAATAAATTGTCAGTTTAAAACAATAATTATTTAAAATCTGGATGAACATACTTGATCCGACGGTAAATTACTAGCTTTTCCAGCTCCTCGACCATGATGTTTAATAATTTCACGGATAGCAGTTGCAGCACCATGACGTATTTCCCATTTTGTATTAAATAAATCTCTAAGTAATGTGTTCATGAAATCTTTAAAAGGCCAATCAACTTCAACCTTAATATTAATAACAATAAATAAAATAATAATTTACTTATAAACTAATAAAATATTTCTGAAATTTTCTATAGTCTATATTTTAAACACTATAACTTTGTTAAAAAACTTTAAGTTTATTATTATATTATATATTATAATTCATTTTTAGCGACAAATCTGATTTGAATAAGTCTGTTAAAATGAATTTATACAAATAATATTTTCTCATTATAAGCATTATTAGCCACTTGATAGTATTTTAACAAAGTTTTATAGAAATAATGAAGAATATATTTCATATTAATTAACTAAACTTTGTTAAAACTATAAATTGTCTAACTAATAAAATTACTTACAAAAATGTGAAATTTAATAATTATTATACTAAAATATTATAAAATTATTATTACCTCTTCACTATCATCAATTAATTTAATCTTTTTGTTTAAATTTGAAGTCCCAGTGAAACCAGCATCTAAAGATACAGATCTGACTAGTTTATTATTCAGTTCAGCTAAACGAGCTTTCCGTCTATCACAATTAGTTTCTCTGGAACTTTTATCAATATCAGGATTTACATTTATTACATCACTTAATTGTCTCTAAAAAAATAGATATTTGAAAATATTAAAAAAATTAATTGGATTATAAAAACAAATAATATAAGTAAAAAAGATAAACACTGAGTAATTGTTTTAAGACAAAATGTAATGTGAAAACTTATTAATATTTTACATTTATTTTTCAATGAATTAATTTAATGCAATACATAAAAATTGTATTTATAAGGTAAATATGGTCATTTTTAAGATTTGATCTGTGATCATGTATTTTATTACTAACTTTTTATACAATATTCAAAATGAAAATAGTTCACATATTTTTTATATCATTTACTAAAAAACATATTTTACATCGGAAATATAATGAAAATTATTAATAAATAATATAAATACAAAAATAATACAAAGCTATTATGGATAAAAAATGAGATATATTTATATTATTTGGGCTCTTATAAACAAAAATTTAAAACATATTACTAGGATTTAAAGGATCCTATCTACTCTGAATATAGGACAAAAATAACAATTTTAAGTATATAACTATTATTTACTTTTAAGTTGGTTTTACAAGGTGCTGATAAAATCATTATATCATCTGATGTGATAATATCTGAACCAATAATTTCTAGACCCAATGTTTTGTTAATAATTTGCTGCTGATCTTTGATAATTTTTTCTGAATCTATAAAATTAGAATTATAAATTATAAAATGTATTAGTTTATTTTTAAATTTAGACTCTGATACAAGTATAATATTGTTAAAATATTATAATTACAACTGAGAATAATTATGTATAGTAAAATAACTGAAAGGTATGTGTAAACATTATATCATAACTTTAATATTTTTTTTTTAATATTAAAAAAAAAAAAATATAAAAGAACCTGTAATTATGTTTAATAATAAAAATAAAACAGCTTGAAAGTTTAATACATAACTATTGCTATTTTATTTTATTTGATAATAATTTTTGGAAGTTTATCAATTATTTTATTCAGAATTGAAATTAAACAAAACAAACCATTTTTATAAATAATGATGATATTAATAACAATTTTATGGATAATCATTTACACCAAAAGTTTAACAGAGATATACACTATAAATGTACAGTAACTTTTAGATCTCAATTAGTGTGAAACACAGACCCCTAGCTATAACTTAAATTAATCCGGGACCCTTTTTTTTTGTAAATACTCAACTTTTCAATTTTGTATAGTTATGAAAATAAAAAAAAATGTACAATTTATTTTAATTTGACAAATCTTTTTGTAATATTATACAAACACATTTTCTAAAAAAAAGTTTATATAAAAATATTTATTTGATTAACACTTGATTTTACATACAACATTATTGCAATCACCTTTTACAATTTAATTATGAATTACTTAAATTATTTTTAACATTGATTTTTGAACTTTATGAGAAAAATGAAACTTTTTTTTTATGTTCATAATTTTGTTCAAATTCGGCTGCATACTTGATATTTTCATTCATAAATTAGTGTCAATATTAAGTCTATTACGATATTTTTTTTTCGTGTAACAGTAGATAGAAAAAGCTTGTTCACATATATATGTTGTGCAAAAGGGAAATTTAGGTCCCCTAAAATCAAAACGTGGAACTCTGAGGTCTGCGGACTACTAATTGGGAAACACTGGTATAGACCATTACTTAAAAATGTATATAAATAATATGACTAATATAGAAAACTAAGTCATAAAAATAACACTAAAAAAGTTTAAATTTTCAAAGAAAAAAATTATTAAATACATAAAATATTATAACAATATATGGAAGCATTCAAGTATTATGTCAGTAGATTAGGAAGAGAGGGAAGCTAAATTTTAAATCTGATGCCAACATCATATTCACTAAAATTTGAATTAATGAGTGAAAAATGCATAAGTCAATGAATTACTGACAGTATCGAAGACATGCCATCTTGTTTTTTTTTATTTTTATACATAGTTGAAAAATTAGTATTATAAACAAAAGGGAGGGGACTTTAAAAAATGTTGGTGTAAAATAAGAGAGGTAATCTACCTGACATATGGAGAGAGGAGAGGAAATAAAAATGTGCTAATAAAATACTTGAATGATCTCAATATTAACAAATTAATGAAGTTGAAAAATGAACCGATTTTATTTCTGAGCAAATAATATATTTATGTATAATTTTAAGTAAGTTCTATTTATAAACGATACGATAAATGCACATATTTTAACAAAATAAAGCAATAATGTGTTTAATAAAATTGTATTGAAGGTATTTCATTCATATAATAAAATATGTAGTACTGGTTGAATTTCTATTTTTATAGTTATACTATATATATATAAGGGTCATATCAAAATAATCACAATATATATATATTTTAAAGTTTAATACGCTTTTGTTATTAAAAAAAAAAAAAATATTACAGTATATTACATATTAGATATTTAAAAGTTTTCCCTTAAAAATCAAACTGATCATAGTTCATTGACATTAGAAAACATAATATTCAAAATCAGAATTGTTAGTACATACAAAATGTAAATAAAATCCACTGAATTTTAAATTAAAGTATTGATAATATGCATGTTTATTTTATTTAATATTGAAAACATTAAAATGTATTTTTAAAGCAGCATCAACAGTAACTATTAGTTACTGCAGTTTTTATTGTTTTTAAATTTTTTATATTTTATATTTTTATTAACTATTAGTTTTTACAACAATTAGTTGTAAAAAAAAAGAAAATGACTTTATTTTGAATAATAATTAACTTACAACTAAATTTTAAATTATTATACTATTTGATTATAAATATGCACTACATTTACTTATGATAAATTTTAAATGAGTTTAAATAAATTTTTATATTTTTGGTTGTTTTAGGAAAAATTGTGAATTTTGATAGATAAGAAAATTAAATATCTTATCTTATAACTAAATAATAGTAATTTACTGTAGAATTTATATACAATTAACTACTGATAGTTTGTTAAAATATTTTTTAACTGTAATATCACACATTGCCTAAATTATTATATACAGTAGAATTAGCTTATAAAAATCTTCAAGGGACCTAAAGAATCAGATCATTATATCCAGATGACGAAAACATTACCAACATGAGATATAAAACCAACCAAATACACGACTAGGAATCGTTTTATCGGGAATATCGTTGTATACGGCATCATATTAAGCGGATTCTACTGTGCAATGTTTTTATTCAAATAAATGATGATTCATGAATATATATATATATATATTATAATATTATATATTATATTATATTATTAATCGATCAGTTCTTCTAAAACATAGATTTATCACTAAATATTAAAGTTGAACGAGTACCTTATTAAGTAGAATTTTTTGAGTAGAGTACTCGATACTTGACTTGACTCAACAAAAAAATAATTTATAATCGTAAATACAAGTACTCGGTTTTAGTCAACTTTAATCGAGTACTTGATTTGAATCAAGTACTCTAATTTCACTACTTTATTGAGAAATATATATATATATATATATATATATATATATATACATAACTATAAATAAATGGGATTAAAATATTTTTAATGAAACACATCAGGAAGGTAGATGGTTTAATAATTATTAATAAATAATAATATATTGTTATTGCTTTGATAATTTATTATCATGATAACAACATATTTTATACAGATTGATAACCATATTTTTCTTGAGTACTTGTCATTTATCAATTACTTGAATTTTGATCTCAACTCGTCATTAAAAAGAAATGTTCGTCCAACTCTACTAAATATCCACAAATAATTATATATATATGATAAGAAATTATTAAATGTATACTTTCTTCTTCTTCTACTTCCCTTTTCTTCCAAATATTTGAGGTCAGTTATCTTTGTGTCCAAAACTTCCACTTGTAATGATTTTCTACATCCTCTACATACATAACAACAATATTCTCAATCATTCTTAATTGTATCCAATCGTTTCTTTTTTCTCTTTTCCCTTTGATGTTAATTTTCATACTCACTCTTACTACTTTTGTTTTCTCTCACCTCATCGCCTGCTCAAACTATCTTAGTCAATTTTCTCTCTTCTTGTCCACTATCAACATTACACCAATACTATCCCTCGAATATTAGTTCCTTATTCTATTTTCTCTTGTCACTTTACTCATCCATATAAGCACTCTCATTTTCATAACACTTGTACTCTGTTCTATTCTCCTATCAACCGCCCAACACCCCGAACCCTATATTATAGTCTCACTACACTCCTGTAAAATTTATCTTTTATTCTCATTGGAATTCTCTTATCATACAAAATACCCAACACTTTTCTCCATTCAGGGTTGGGCAGTATCAAAGATACAATGTATATTGTATCTTGTATCATGATACATTTTATGCAAGTATCATGTATATTTTTTCCCAAAAGATACAAGATACTATTATTGTAAAAATTTGTACTGAATAGTACCAAGAAATAAAAAAATTTTCGTCATGGATTGTATTTTTACGAAAAATAACTGTCCAGATGCGATCGAGCCGAAATGAACAACGAAAACATTAACTACACAATGTTATATCTTGTAAGATAATTTGAAAATTACGGTCATACAGATAAGCACTAAACTCAAATTTTCATAAAATATGAATCCATACATATATATATATATTTTTTTTTATAGATATGGCTGTAATTGTAGTAGGTCTTTCCACATAGAATAAAAAATAAAATCAGAAGTATAGATAAGTAATTTTAATGGGCTATTACTGGTGTATCATTTTATTCATTCTATCTTCTGTGTGACATTCTCACTGTCAGTAAAATAATTATAAGGCCATTCACATTTTTTTCATATTTTATTCTTTTATATTTTAATTTTAATGGATTATTTTACTGAACAAAATATTAAAATTCCGCCATCATTGAATGGAAAATATTTTAAAATTGTATCAAATGAACAAAATGGTTCTGATTATGCTCTAAAAGTATTGTGTATGATATGCCAATATGTTAAAAAGGAAAATAAAATAATTTCTGGATCTCTTAAATTTATTACAAATTTTCAACTGCATATGAAAGTAATGAACCTATTATTATTTATTATACTGTATATTAAAAAGTGTTTTACGGTGAACTGAAAAAGATGGGTTTCAGATTACATAAGTGACCACAAAAAAAAAAAAATAATACAGAATTTGTGTATACATGCTACCGAAAAAATATTTAATGAATTTAGTAATCATGAATCCAGTAAAGATTCCGAAGAAAGTGTTTTTATATTTTCTTCTCAAATTGAAAATAAACAGCAATCAAAAAATAAGCTTGAATTAATCACTTATTTTAACGACATTAACAAATCATTAAATTATTTAAATAACTATCCATCTATAAAAAAACTATAAATTATAATACAAGTCTGTGTTCATCTGCTCCTGTTGTGCGTTTATTTCCATTTGCTAGTTTTGTGCACTCACCCAGTAGATCTAATCTATCAGACAAAATGTTTGAAAAATTAATTTTTCTTAAAAGAAACCAAGATTTTATTGATAAATATAACATTTAATTTAAAACCATAATCCATAAGACCACAACCAATCTACTCATATATATTTATTTTTAATCATAAATACATAACCAATTATACACATGTATAACTATAATATAATATAGACTATAATTTATAGTGATATATTTTATAATGTGTATTGATTTATTGTATTATTTAATATTTATGAATTTATAAATACCTACTGTATATAATACTATAAAATATGGACTGTATAGTGCATTGAATGAACCTTTTACGTTTAAAAGTTAATAAAATTCAATTGGAAGAATAAAAGTATCAATGTATCAATGTATCTTGTATCTTTTCTACATTCACAGTGTATCTTTATCTTGTATCTAGATACACTAAATGCATGTATCATGATACTTTTTTTTAAGTATCTTGCCCAACACTGTCTCTACTTCATTCAACCACACTTAATCCTGTTTTACATCCATGTCAAAGCCATTATTTTGTACAAATGTATTAAATATTTAAAGTTTTTGACTTCACCTATCATATCACCACTTATTGTTATTGATCATCTTATGTCAATTTAAAAACATGATTAAATTTATACTAATTAACTAAAATACACATACCATTTTCTGAAGTAACTAGATTGTGTAGCTCAATATCTGGAGAAGCCATTAAAGCAGAGCAATTGTTCATAATAGAGGTTAAATCAAATGTATCAAATGATAATTTTCCATCATTTTCTTTTTCATCTACCAATAAATCATTACAGAGTTCTGAAAATTATATGACATAATAATGAACACGGATTATAAAAATATTTTATATCTATAAGATTATATATAAATATTACAATCCACACCTAATTTAACAGGCGGTAAACCACTAGGACACCAAGGAGGAATTTGTTTAACAACAGCTTCAATGGCTTGAGAAGCAGCTATACGAGTTTCCCATGATGAACTTCGTAAGTATGTAGATATTCGTTCTAATAAAGGTTTAAGTTCATGGGGATGTAATCTCACCACTTGTCCTAGTTGGTTTGCAGCAGCTTTTCTTGTAACTGAACTACTTCCTGTTTCTAATAGTATAAAGAGTCTATCTAACCTGTAATAAAATATAATTACTATTGTACTAATAATAAAATAATTCATTTAAAATTGAAATATTACATAAGAAGTGGTAATAATGTATGATTTTAACTGTATTTTTAAATTAAAATATAAATTACCTAGACGTCATTTTGATGACTGATGAATTTCTGTGTTAGTATTCAAAAAAACAGCCTGAAAAAAAAGATAGAGATGTTATTAATATTACAAATTGAAAAATTATTATAGAATTATTGCGCTGTAATTAATTAAGACTAAGGCAAAATAAATATTATAAAATATTTTTTTTAAAAGATTATAAAAGGTAGCAAAATTAATATTTGTTGTCTTTTAAATAAATGTATGCCTATCATATTTCCAACATACAATATCAACTAGTGTCTAGTACTTATTAATATTTATTTTGATTTCTTTTGGATATACATTTTCCAGAATAAAAAGTATTTTTAGTTAAACATACAGATACAATTACGATTTATGTTTATTATTAATGTTTATCAAGAATGAGTAATGTAATAAAGAAATTTAACTATAGGTATATATAAGAATATATATATGTATATAGGTGATATGAGTTTAATCTCGACTTTTTTTTTGTGTTATAGGTATATAAAATATATTTTTACATGTATACATTCTATTGATATGAAAAATATTAACTTTATGATGTCATCGAGACACTGTAAAGGATCGGTCTCAGATTAAAAAAAACATGCCTGTATGTACTGATTACAAACATAATATAATAAAAGATTACACATTGTCAGCGGCTGGAAAACCATAATTTTATTTGTAAAAAATACATTAGGTGGATAATAAAAGTGATAGTGTATTTTGATTTCCAAATGATCCGAGCCATCACCCCTAAGAGTCGACAAAAGTTTAAAAGAATTTGATGTTATGAAAACATGATCGGATGGGTATGTAGTTCCTTATCGAGGGGGAAAAATACAAGATGATTAACCCGCTGCGACAACGGACCAAAGGCGCATGAACGTGTAGTTATGTAAATCTGCCGTAGATGCTGGAAGTTGTGTAATGACCGCGTTACACAACAAAAGTAGGTCAAAACGAGACGAAGTCGTTACCAACGATGGACGGAGACACCTAATCCGGTCGAATGAGAGGTAGGGATATGTCCATGAGCATGGGGAACACCTTCAAGTCGACACAATATCGTATAAGTTGCGAAATGTCCGAAAAAATAATAAACACGGCTTACGTGCCCTTATGGGCATCCGTGGGAAGGTGACGGAGGGATGGGGCTGTAGTCGGATGGTTACCTGTTGGGCGACTCATTATTCGTGTGTTGCGGTTCAAGGTTTTTTTTTTTTTGGGCACATAACGATCCGTACTACGTCATCATTATCGTGTTGGCGACACGGGTGGGCAGATTTTGGCGAATAGAACTGGTGGTGGCGGCATCGGCGACGGTAGTCCGGGTGGTTGTGCCGATGGTCAGCGCATTTTTCTCGAGCGACGGGTCGTCCGATCTGGCGAAACAACGCAGGCGGTGACGGTACAACGGCGTTCAAACTTTCGTGGCGGCTGCCAATGGTTACGTCGGCGCGCAGATGGCGGCAAACAACAACACGAACAACGACCATGTCGACCGGATGAAAGGCACATTTATACTGGCGGCCATTAGCACGGGGAACGATGCTTTAACGACCGCGCCGGCGGTAAACAAACGCGTTTGGAGAACGGCCGATCAGCTGATCGCACGGCGTGGCAACGTTCTCGCAGTCAGCACGTGATCGCTGGCCGCACGCAGCCGCTGCGTACTGTTTTTTTTTCTTTCGTCGTGTTCCGTTTCGATTTGCACTGCGAATTAGCCTGCTTACACCGTGGTTTTCGCAATTCCCCGTCTTTTCACGTCTGTTCATTATCGCGATTAATTTAGCGGCCAGAAACGGAAGAATATTATATCCAATGCTTGGATTGGAAAAAAAAAAGAACAGTAAGGGGATGCAAAAGTATAAAAAGTATGTGTGCCCCGAGTAGTTAAAAGTACTATTGTTGGGCGAGGGGCTTTGTTTTCCATACCCCTCCTACTGCAACCATATTATACATTACACAGCAATAAATTGTGTATTTCTTTTTATTTAAAAATTAAGAACAAATAAGTAGGGCTGAACGAGCAAATACACTAAATATACGCCTCGTAGTGTTGTTTAGTTATACGATCAGGGCCGGATCTTAACTTTTTAACACCCGGGAAAATTAAAAATATACGCTCTTTTCAAGAAATTTCAGAAAAATGACCAGAATCATTATTTTTTTTTTTTTTTTTATGAAAAATCAAGCATACTCATATAGTAGCATGAGCACCAACCATTTATAAAGACGTTTGTAATACACTGGACCAATAAATTATTTATCAAAAATTATTTGAACAATTTTAGCTTAAAAATCAAAAAAAAATTAGTTTTTATATAATCAACTAATCATGTAATATTTTTATAAGCACTTCTTAATGGTATATTTAAATTTAAAATCTATGGTTAATATTTCTAAGTTTCAGGTTTAGAAAAAATAATATTTGTAATAATAACATTTATAAATTATTTATTAACAAATCTAAATTATTTATTGCTTACTTTTAAGTTTTAACATAAAAAGCTTTATGTAAATGAAACAATATTTATATATTTTAAATTTTTGTTATGGTTACACTCAAAACTTTATAATTACTACATGTCTACATATTATGTATCTACTTAGGTAAGGAAAAACTACAATTAAAAAAAAATATAACTAAGTACTGAAAATTAAAATAGTATAATGATTACCTATAACTTATGTATTAAATGTATAATATACTTTTTTTTTTTTTTTTTTTTTAATTATTACAATAAGGTATTCCTAGCTTACGCTATCTATACCTAGAGATGAAAGATAAAATACATTTTGGCGTAATTAAGTGCGATAAATAAATAAGTTACAATTTTACATTAGATGATAACAGTAGTTAGAGAATTAATTAGATAGTGTCTTGAGGAATTAGGTCATGTGGGCGACCTCGTTTGAGACGGCGCTGTGGAGGTGGTCTGGTGTTGATGTGGTAGTGCATTGAGCCTATTGACCTATGGATGGATTCGGAGAAGCTCACAGCCGTGAGCTTGATGTGGTCTTGAATGGTTGAAATTTTAAGATCTTTGTGTATGCTTGAGTTCCTTACAAACCATGGGGCGTTAGTTATCGTTCTTAAGACTTTGTTTTGAAATATCTGCAGTTTTTTGAGATGAGTTTGTGCGCAATTACCCCAAACAGGGCAGGCGTAAGTGATTAATGGACGTAGTACTTGCTTATAAATAAGTAGGGAAAGGTTTTTTTGTAGGGAAGACTTTCTGTTTAAGATAGGGAAGAGCATCCCTAAACGTTGATAGGCTTGTTGAAGTTTAGTTGAGAGGTGTGGCCACCAGGTTAATCTTTTGTCCAATGTTACACCGAGGTACTTGACGGATGGCTTCCATGAGATTTATAATATACTAAAATATATTATTCTAAATTTTCCAAATTTACAAAATGTTAAACTTAATATTTAAAACTTTATTTTTCTGGCTTTGATTGCAGAAAAATTATCAATAACTGAATCAAAATCAACTGTCTTTGTGATCTCTTTTTCGATTGACAGAAGTGACAAGTTAGTGAGTTTGTTTTGGTTCATCGTGGATCGTAAATACGTTTTTATTAATTTGAGTTTACTAAAACTTCGTTCACACGATGCGGTTGTACAGGGCAATGCTAGATACAAACGAATAGCAATACAAATATTTGGGAATATGTTAGTCATTGAGTACTCGTGTATTAACCGGCGCATACTAGTTGGGTCCCATGATTCAGATTGTTCACTAATTGGGTCCCGTGTAAAATAGCCTACTGTACGAGTTGGGTCCTGAGTAAACCAGTCTACTGTACTAGTTGGGTCCCGTGTAAACCAGTCTACTGTACGAGTTGGGTCGCATAAAAAACATTTTCCTTCCCATTTTTACAGACTTAGGACTATCTATAATAACATCTATAGTTACTACAGGTATGGTTAAAAATGTTTTGTTTCTAATTTTTTCCTGATTTACAATCGTTCGTTGTCCATCTGATTTTTAATGATTAATAATATTTTAATTTAAGGGTTGAAATTTATAAGACATAGTTTTTACGAATTCGTAGCAATTAATTTTTTTTAATATTTTTTTTGTCATTTTTTCTTTTACGAATTCTTCCTTAGATATTATACAGTTTCTTCTTTTTCCTTCTTGACTTCTCATTTTAATATAAACATCTATTTGAATATTTTTTAAAACGTGTATAAATTGATATAAATTTGGGTGAGCAGAATAAAACATAGAATTGAAGTGTGAGTGAAAGGATTCACATGCGTTTGTAGTTCTTATTGTACTAGGCTTAAATTCAGACCATAATCTTGAAGGGAACTTAGCGTCAGAATGTATATAATTGTTTAATAAATATTCCGTGAATATTTGTAATCGTTCGTCATCTGGTTGATTATTATTTCAACGGTAGAAAATACCTAATCTAAAATATTATTTTCGTACTGTATATTACTACGATAAGATATCATTTTATTGCCAGAAAGTACGTCCTTAATCCATATTCGTACTTTATAATATTATATAATATAGTTATTTTATATAATTGTATAAATACGTGGACCATGGACCCAATTCAAACGCATCATTTGATACGCCTGGACCCAATTCAGACAAAACATTTTATTCCCACGGACCCAATTCGTACAAAATTTAAAACTAGTATTATTTTCGGACCAAACTCGGATGCAGCCGTATTAACTCCAGAATGTTTAATGGAGTTTGATTTTTAAGGTCAGGTAACATACCTAATGCAAGGTTTTTAAAGTTAATAATTTCCGAAGTAAAATCTGAAGGTTTTAAATCGTTATCATATTTTATGGCTAGGTCAGCAGCAGCTTTAATTAAATAATTTGAATTTCTTTAGCTCCTTCTTTCAGCTCCATTTAAAAATCCAAAGTCAGAAGATACTTGATTAAGCTTTTCAAATCTCCAGTTCATATTCATAGTTAATACAAACATTTTTTAAATTAATAATACAAGTTGTTTTTGAAGTCGCATTCCAGTCGTCTGTAGATTCTTCAAGATCCTATAGTTTTACTCGTTTTATTCTTTTTTGAGGAAAAACAGTTGCAATACCCATTTTTTTAGTTAATTCTTCAGCACTTTGAAATAATGTTTCAAGTCTGTTATTTCACAAATCGATGATTTCATTAATTAATCCTTTAATTAGATTTGCAGCTTTATTTATTGTTAATGATTTCGATTGTAGACAAACATTAACGCGATCAATCCTTGAAAGAATAGCATTCCAAATAGATAACAAGCAAATAAATTCATAGTCAATATATAATAGTAAGCTTTTAGCCAAAAATATTGATTCAGCATTACCTTTTTCAATTATATTATTAAGGGCATTTTTTACTTCAGGTAGTTGTGTAAAAATCGCTTTTATAGCTACAGATTTAGAAGACCATCTTGTATAAGAAAATGGTTTAAGTATGAGTTTCAATGATTTCAATTCTTTTCAACGAGAAGGTGAACCCGAAAAAAAAATTGAATAATTGTTGAATCTTGCCAAAAAAGTTTTTCATTTGAACATTTGATGATGCAGCGTTGACACCAGCTAAATTTAAACTATGAGCAGTACATGGTACGAAAGTAGCCAAACTATTTTTTTCCATAATTTTTGATTGCACACCTTTATATTTCCCTGCCATATTTGCTCCATTATCGTAAGCTTGACCTCTGCAGTTTTGTATATTTAAATTATCATCAGATAACTGAGTTAATACTTCACTTGCTAAGCCTTTTCCAGTTTTTTCATGTGATAAAATAAATCCTAAAAAACTTTCTTCTATACAAACTTTTCCATTGGAAATATGTACATATCGGATAATTTGACTCATTTGTTCCTTTTTGGAAACATCAGGTGTGCAATCGAATATAATAGTAAAATATTTTGCAGACTTGATTTGATTTATTATTTTTTTTCTGACCTTTTTAGATAATAAAGAAATAAATTCATCTTGAATGTGATGAGAAAAATAAGACACAGAGCCTTTCCTATGGGATTCAATATGTTGCCTTAATACTCCATCAGATTTACTTATTAAGCTAATGAGATTTAAAAAATGTCCCGCTGCTGGATTACCTATTTCTTCATAGTTTCCTCTTAAGGCTAGATTATTATTTACACAATAAAGTAACACATCTAATATTATTTTTAAAACATGTCGCCACTTTTCTTGTTCTGATTTTATTTCTTTCTGTAAGGAGTCATCAATACCCCTTCCTTTCATTACTTTATTTTCAAGCATTTTCCATTTAAAAAAATGTTTTATGTGGTCTTGAGAATCTTCATGTTCTTTTAAGCGCTCCATTTTTTTCCAACACGGAAAACCTCTTTTGGGATCACTTAAAGCAGTAAATTGGTTACCAAATAATAGACAACAAAAGCAAAAAATTGCGTCATTTGGTTGAGAATACATCATCCATGATCTTTCAACACTTTCTCCATTAGGTAATTTTTTGTAAAACCAATGGTTTTTAAAAGGCTTATGTTCCATTTTTCCACGATCTGGGCCATGTTGAACAAGTATGCATCTTAACTTGTCATTTATAGTTGGCCACGATTGAGGATTATTAAATATTATTTCAGGGGGTTTTAACACATTTATTTCTTCATCAACAAATGATTGTTTCTTTACTATACCATGTGATAAATCATGATCAACTAAAATATTTTCATCTAACTCTACAGTCTCTACAGGTATTCCTTGAAAACTTAATTCATTGGTATTTGATGTTCGTTCAATTTGACTACAACCACTATCAATTTCAATTTGAATACTTTCATTTATTTTTTGATTTTCAGAAGCCCCATCTTCTAATGAATCAATTTCGTTTTTAACGTTGAACCATTTACTTTTAGATTTCTCCCATTGTGCTGCTTGTTTTTGAGCTTCTGCTTCTTTTTGTTTCTTTTTATTTCGGAAATAGGAACCTGGTCTTTTTGACATTTTGAGCTTTAAAAATAAATAAGATGAAGAAAGAAGTTTAATAAAAAAAACTATTAAATATATTTAATAAAAAAACGCGTTTAATAGTAACTGCATTAGAAGACGAATGTAAACAAGAAATCACGCTCGCGCTGCCAATTACAATGTTGCTCGTGCTTGACAAATTAACAGGACAATGTAAGCACTCACTGTCTTCGATGTTACTACATAAATATATCGGGAAGTAAATACAGCAATGTGAGAAGTAAAAAATAGGTTGAACGTAAATGCATTAGGTATTAGATTTAGGCGTATGATTGAATTTTACGAGTAATTATATTTTTGCCATCAGTATTCAGTTTTGTATTTCACATTTGGCTACGCTCAGTAAAATCTACCTAAGTGTTTTTAAAAATTGCAATATGCTGAAAATTTCACTAACTAAAAAAATCATTATAGAATTCGGCGAAAATGTCTCTCCGACAGACAGACATTATTCTATTTTGTACAATTTATGAAGTTATTTGTAGTGCTTGAGTTGGAAAAATTAAAAAAGAGGGACTCTTTTTACTTTTAAAAAAAGAAAGTTCTCAAAACTGTTTCAGAGTTGTAATTATAACGTAATTATAGTAGGAGGACGCTATAATTTCTGAAAATTAGTTGGGGTACTCTGTCCCCTGTCCCCCCCCAAGATTAGTAATGGTTATAATATTATTATTATTAGTAATGGTTATTTGCGAAAAATGATTTACTGTTACTCAGCAGGTAAAAACGAATAATAAGGGGTTGTTAAATTGTTAACAATAACCTGTTTCCTACTTACAAGTATGTTCAGTCGTTTTTATATAAATCATAGTTAATCCGTGCGTTTTAAACTTATCTGCTATATCTGCCAGGCGTTCCACGACAGCTCAGTTTTTTATTTTTTTATTTTTTATTTACTTATAACATTTATATTTTATATGAGTATCAAAGTTATAATTTCGTGCATGTTCTATATTCATTAAAATATTCTTGTTTATTTTTATAATATGGGATAAACTATACGAGAAATTAAAATTGTTTTATGTTAGCACAAAATTGTTTGTCGACAATTCCAACTGGCAATTGCAGTACTACAAAGAAAAATTATTTCCATAATCTTTATATACATATAGGTAATTATAATTATTAATTTCATTAAAATGACATTGACATCGGTCGTTATGAGAATGTGTTGGTCAGTGACATGATCAACCACCATTGGCTAGTATTAAATTGTCACTGAGGGGGGGGGGGAACTAGCGCCACGCACTTTGTATGTTAAAATATGCTCTGCCTCCAATCCACCACCAATCCACAAGATATACTGTCTAATTTATCTAGTTTAGAAGATGAAGGTCATGACACGATACGTGTCACTAACATCATAGACCGTATTACTAAATCCAAATTGCCATTCTTTCGAATCGACATAAAATTCTTCAATAAAAATGACATAGCATAAAATGATATAGTTGTGTATATTGTATAGCAATATACACAATTATTTTCCCTATGATTTTTATTTAATTTATTTATTTTTGATTATTAGTATAATTTCTATTATTTATTTATATTACTATTTAGTCTTTACGCATCGTTTTTTGAGATTTAATTAAGTGAGGTAAATAAACATTGTTGCTACTGTCGAGGCTTGAATCATACATTTACAAACGATTATGGGTAGATTTTATTTTTTACTTCATTACATAAGCTTGTTGCATCAACTAAAAAGTGTAGCCAAGTATGTTTAATACTTGGCTCAATAACATTAAAGTTAAATCAAATACCGAAAACGACGAATGAGATGGTGATTCGTGAGATTGTATGTATATGAAAAAATATAAATAGCAACGTAATAACGAATTTCGTTGATGAAATATTTTACAAATTACCCAGAAGATAATGTTTGTTATTATCAACCAAATTAATTAACCGGCTATAGATTTTACTAATTCTATATAGGTTCGTAATTTTCTCATCATTTTTCCACTATTTGAAAATAGCGGTATTGGTAAACTACATAAATTTTGGTAATTTATTGAAACAATATTTATTTAAAGTGTTTTAATTTGATATTTTTAAATTTAAATGTATTTGTATTTTATTTTTCACTAAATAAATTCTATCATTTTTGATATTGTCTGTTTATAAAATATGGAACGAATTCAATTTAATATATACGAGTATAATGATACCTATAATCAGGAACTAGAACCGGAACCGAAGTGAACTGAATAACTTTAATCGGAACCTATATTTCTAAAAAATGTAAAATCGTAACTTGAACCGTAACCTTAATTGTAAAACGGTTAATTTTAGTTAGTAGTAATATTTTGTTAATTGGTCAAAAAAATAAAAGTAAACTTTTTTAAGTTTTTATTATCTTGTGTTATAAATTGTAGTTCATCAATTTGTATTACATAAATATAGGTAGGTATATACATAAATAAATAAATAAATAAATATATAAATATATTTATGTATTACAAATTTACAAATTACAATTTACAACACAAGAGAATAAAAACATTATACATCACGTTGGTTACCATGTGGGTGCTCAGGTTCTTTCACCGTTCACGCTTTTGTGTACTATTGTTTCAATGATATTTAGTACAATTTTATAGAAGTAGATAGCGTAAGTATTGCATCAAACACAAAATATACTAAGAGAACCCCGGATGCTTTCACGATTCACAACAATAGACTAGGTGAGAGAACTCGAGTACCCTCTTGGTGCACCCAAGAGTATTATGAAAAATGGCTTGGTAGCCAATTCTTTTAAATAAAATGTATTAACAGGTTAATTGTTTAGTTTGTGTATTATAATTTTACATCCGTAATTGTTTTCTATTTTTTCAAAATGTTTGGGGTAGCACTGGAGTGTGATTAGTTGGCCATAATGATATATTCATTTATATGTTTACAGTTTCTATTTTATTAACTTTGCATTATACTTGATGATAAATTTTTAATTCAAAACATTATATACATAATAATATTTTGGACTACGCGTTCATTTATTATATATATGTAGAAATAAATAAATAAATGAACGTGTAGCCTGAAATATTATTATACCTGTAATGTACGACCGGTTTTGAATTAAAAATTCATCATCAAAGTTCATAAAATAGAGACTATAAATATATAAGTGAATACATCATTATGGTCATTATTATCACTAATTCTTAGTGCTGTATTTAGACATTTTGCGCCTAGGCGCAAAAAAAAAAAAAAAATAGCGCTCCTCTAAGGGGCCTACCCAAGAAAAATATAGGAGATATATGATAATATATACAGATAAACTGGTCACAATTTATACGGAAAAATTCGCGAAATTTCCGTTTACTGTTATGTAAATGTTCATTTATTAAAATTTCAAAAAACCTTCATCTTCTCAAGTTGTAAAAAAGCAGTCTATTAATTTTTGTTTTATTAATTTCTAATGTATTATACATTTCATCTTCTTCTTCCTCCTCCTCTAATGGAAGACTAATTATTTAATTATTATTAATAATAATTTCCTTCATCGCAATTCGTACAATTTGTAAGGTACAATAATAGTTATTAAAATAAAAAGTTATAAACTAAACACGTCTGCACACTTCTGAGTATCAGAATAAAATGAACTACACCAGCTGCAAAGTAAAGTCGAATTTAGGAAACCAGTCGGCACGCAGCGTTCAGTAGTTGCGACTAGTCGTTGTGTTCAGTCGTATGCGGCCAGCCGCACATAGGAAACCGTACCTTTAGACTATTAAGTAAAAATAGCCATGCCACTCATGAATTACATTACCACTGTCGTGAAAAAAGGCCGTAAATCTATATTAAAATAATAGGTATATATTATCATTGACTAAATAATTCTTAATAATAATTGTACTCTATTATAATTAAAATTATTCCATAATCTATGATATTATTAAATAAGATAAATATTATTAAATATTATTGAATAAGAGAAGCAATTTAATAGCTGATCAACATTTTGAGATGACTTTTTTATTGAGAATCAATTATTTTGATTTCCCTGCCCATTGTATTATTTCGTTTGTTTGGATTTTAATAAAATTAAATAATCTCTACAATATAAAAATGAATCGCAAAATGTGTTGGTAAGCGCATAACTCAACAATGCCTGGACCAATTTGGCCAAATCTTTTTTTCAAATGTTCGTTGAAGTTCAAGGATGGTTTTTACGGCGAGAAAATTAGAATTATTGCTGGAAAAACCCTAAAAATAGCCCTTTTCTTTTTCTAATACAAATGATTTGTAACTAAAACATAGTACTATTAAAAAACTATTAAAAAACTATAAAAAAACTATTTAAAAACTATTAATTTTATTTTTGGTAGTAAATGACGGGTATTGCATAAATATTAAACAAAAAAAGATCCCGCAACAGGTGTCAAAACAAATAAGAATGTTAGTTCGAAAAATTATTATGCATATCGGTTGATGATTAAACGCGATCAGGACAAAATTATTCTACGATATCATGAGCTTCGTCAACAATTCATGGTCGAAATGTATGTAAAGATAGAGAGCGAACGATTTTGATACTTGCGATTTAATCAAAAAAAGCTGCGTGCAGAAGATTCTCAAAACAATTGTTAGATATTGGAGATGAGGAAGTTACTACAGATGAAACGGAATGTATAAAATTACCGACCGATTTCTGCATAATCATTTATTCGCAAGATGCTCTCATTGACTAGATATTTTCCAATGTACACAGACAATACACAAATTATGAGTGGCTGGCAGAAAGGGCAATTTCAGTAGTAAAAAATGTGGACGTCAACGAATTGAATCTCAAGATAAATATTTGTTACCAGGAGACATGGTGTCATACAAATCTATAGATATAGTTTGCTATGCTACTGAAGCTGTAAATTATCTAACAGAGTTTTTAAACTCATTGGACTTACCAGGCATGCCATCGCATAATTTACAATTGAAGGTTTATTCTCCGGTTATTTTGCTTCATAATT